GCGGACAAGTAGCGCGACCGTTTTGTCAACATTGACGGCCATGCGCCACCTGTCCAACCACTCCGGCAGCAGGTCCAGTTGCCGCTGCATTTGAGCGGCGGCTCTCGTCTTCCAGTACGACGACGTGAAAAATCCCGTGTCGTCGGCGAACAGAGCGAGCATGACATCCCGTTCCAGGGCCAGTGTAAAGGGCTGGCTGTCCAGGACAGGGATGTCATTCGTGTACAGCGCGTAGAGCGCCGGGGAAATGCAGCTACCTTGTGGAACTCCGGCGGCCACTGGGCGGGTGTCGGAGCGCGCGTCCTCCACCGAAACGAAGAAGCTACAGCCCCTGAGAAACGACGCCACCAGTCGCACATACGCGGGCGGCGTGCTGGTATATTGTAATAATTTGTATACTAGGCCGTCGTGCCAAACACGGTCGAATGCTTTTTCGATGTCTAAGAAGACACCGACCACCACTCGACCGTGGTTGCGCTCGGCGGCCAGGTGGTGCAGCACGCGCGCCAGCTGCAGAGTGGTCGAGTGCCCCGACCGAAAGCCGAACTGTTCGCTCCTAGGAGTGAAATGTTCGGCCATCCGTCGGAGCAGCAACCTCTCAAACAGTTTGGCTATGTGCGCCAGTAGCGTGATGGGGCGGTAGCTTCCTGGCAAACGGCGATCCTTGCCCGGTTTGGGGAGGACGATCACTCTACCCAGTTTCCAGGACTCTGGAAAATGGCCTGTGCGGAGGATTCCATTGAAGAGCCTGGTGAGCGCCACCAGGCACCTTCGCGGCAGCTGCATTAAATCGGCGTTGGAAATTCCATCGGGGCCCGGCGCCTTCCTCCTGGGGAGGCGCTCCACGGTCCTCCGCAGCTCAGCAGGTGAGATGAATTCGACACCTGCGAGCGGCGGGGACTCGCCCGATAGGAATTCCTCTACGCGCCGTGTCACTCGCTCGTGGTGCTCGACGACAGTAGGATCTGTGGGAACGGCAAGGGGATGGGGCTGGAATTGCCCCTGTAGATGGTTGGCTAGAATGTCTGCCCTGTCCTTGGCTGCGTACCTTCGTGTGCCCGTCGCGTCTAGCAACGGACACACGGGTGGTGGCCGTGTATTATGGCGAGCTGCATAACCTTTAAATTGAGCCTAGATTAGCTCTATGGCATTATACTAGCAGTGGTATGGAGTAATTCGGAGAACGCGATGACCGTATTCCAGAACCAATTCATCTATTTCATTTTTTACCATAAATATAAAGTAGTAAGTATTTTTTTTTCATGTTTTTTTAATTTATCTAACTGATATCAAGACACTTATTTTCTTTTGTTTGGGCGTACCTGTATCGTATTATAAACTTTATTAAATATGTATTAAGTACATTACATATTATAAAAATGTTTTAATGTGTACAATTTCTTTTACGAGCAATAATGTTTCAATTATATATAATTATTATAAAATTATAACGTTTTATTTAACAATATACTGACCAACAGATTATATTAAGATTACAAGAATATTCAATTACAATTGCCTCGTTATTTTGCCTCATTACTTCAAAAACAAACAGTTAACCTTGAAACAGCGCAGTTTGACGTGATTAGACTTTTAAAAACTATTGTTTTTAAAAGTCTAATCACAATGTAAAAAAATTTACCCCAAAATTAATACGTTTAGTTGACATAATTATACAATTTTTAATGTTATTACTCGTTGTTAAAGTTTGCCGTAAATTGTAAGCCAGTTCGAAGTTACATTGCCCATTCGATCACAACTTGTCAGAAACACAATATCTGAGTGGCCGGACTCTATAATTGTCAACCCGTCTGCTTAGCATGGCAACTACTGGCAAAACACTCCTTACAGGGGAGACTTATGTTCTGCAGTGGACCAGTTAACAGTTGATATAATTTTGATGATAATGATATTCTGTATTAATTTCTATGTCGTGTAATGTTTGCAAAGTCTTGTTAATTTTTATGTGATTTTCCACTCATTTATTAAATATGTCTGTATGTTGAGTTATCCGTTCTTTACTAAGGCTAATATGCCTCTCAAACTAGGTTAACCTATCATCATTACTTAGTAGAATTTTGATAACATTGAAGTACTTACTCGTAACAGCATCTGATTGATCTAAATTACGAGTGATACTACTGATAATAGATCCTAGATTATCTTCGAAACGTCTCCATACATGTTATGAATATAAAGTTTTAACTTATCTTTTACTTTAGATAATTTAGTAGACAAATATTCTGTTTGCTAATTTGTATTAGTTTTATAATTTAATAACTAGCTTTGTACTAATACTATTGTGTCACTAATATTATCAAATTAAAAGTGTTGTAGGAAGGTGTAGTAATGAGTTCAGTTTTGTTGTTCTAAGTCAAAATGGTAGAAATCCGATCATTCATCATCCGGTCATTATCGATAGTCTTCTATAGTTTCTAATAAATGACTTAAATCTATACTTATATCTCTATTTCTATCTAAATCAAGCTTACGGAATTCTTTATTGCGCATAGGCTCTCTAGAAGTGGATTGCCTAGTATATAAATAGTTACGACTTAAAATAGCTAAGTATTCTCTAATTTTCACACATAGAAAGCAAAACATAGGAAAAGTCTATGGTGTACATTCTGGGATCGATGTCTTGACTTTTTTCCGGCCAAGAAACTTCTTATTCTTTTCCCAGGACACCGATGCTAGTTACTCTATTTCAATTTCGAGACATCTCGAATATCCGACTAACTGCGCGAGTTATTAAAGTTGCCGGCGGAAGCCACACATAAAACCAATTTATTTTAAAATTAAATTTAACAAAATGTAAAAAATTACAATTAATGTATACTCTTGATCGATGTTTTCGTTGATACAGAGTTATACGTTAATGGGTTGTGTATATAAAAAAATTGCTTATTCAGCATTTTACTTACGAACTATCCAATGAAGAAAGAGAAGTTTGTAGTAAAGCTACAAAAAAGAAAACTATTAAAAAACTTTTAATAAACCGGAGCGTTTAAGGGGAAGTATTTTTTTAATGGGTGAAAATAGAATGAAAACCCCGCCCGCGCTAGCGGTATATACTGACGAGGCATCAATGGAAGATAATAGCTGAGAATGAATGCAGGTCAGTTGGCCCACCATGATGAATTCGACAAGAATTGGTGAAACATGATGGTTTCCAGGGGAAACCGCGTGGAGGTTGACCTGAGAGGGTATATTACTAGTAATGGAGGGGAAGTATTCGTTAGTAGCAATGTTTACTACTAACGAATGTAAACCAATGTAAACCAGCAGCCAACACGACATACACTTTATCTTTGTAGAACATTTATTGATTTTCAGTTACTGTACGCATGACCTGAAAGAATTTGTATTTGTCGAGTTATGCGCAGTGGATTTATAATATTACCATTTCGGAAACATTTATTTTTTGTATATTATTCACCAATTTTATTAATGCAACCATTAAAATTTATTATTTTATAAAACCAGAGAGAGAAACACTTTTTTATATTAGGCTTTTACTAAATCATAGAGAATAGAGATAATACAAATTTTATAATCGTTTAATAACAATATTTAAAAAAAAAAACAATGTTTTAAAAATGGATCTAAATTGTAAAAAATATTTTCTTTGCATTTAATAAAACCTAGTCTATGATGTACAAGTATAACGACATCTGTCGAAGTTTAGCTACAGTATTACGTTATCTTTGAGTAAACCAACAATTTTACATAAAGTGACATCTGTCCTTTTATATTCGTATCAATAAACCAGATACAGATGCTATCACTGTAAATATTCCAGTAAACATCTTATTGGTGTAAAGATGTCACTAGTTGGTTACTGATATTGTCGCGTGTTATAAAGATGTCACTAGTTGTTTCACTTGCGATATTATCGCTTGTTTTATAAAGATGTCGCTAATTGTTTCATATCCAATGTTATCACTTGTGTTGTCAAGATGTCGCTAGTTATTTTATTTATTTATTTAGGTTTACCAACAATTGTTTCCACAAAATAATGTAAATATATATACAATTATGGAGCTTAGAACTAAGAGTAACAATTTTTTATAGGCAAACACAGCATATATTAATACATGTATAACAATAAGTACAGAGACATATATATAGCTTACAACTATTATTAAATACTTAACAACTAACAACTAAAGCCACCATATCCATAAGCAGATCCAGCAGCACGACTCATTTTATATATTTATAGATATTTCGTACAAAAACAATTGGAGTATTAAAATTAATATCGACCTGGTCACTGCAGCTATTTATAATCTTACAGAACCTTACCATTGGAGAATTACTACCCAGAACAGTTCTTCTAAATGGAGGTATTAGCGGAGTTATAGGTCCACGAAGTAATCTAGAAGGGACTCGCAATTTTAAATTCAATATTATGACTTATAAAGATGTCACAAGTTGTTTCATAATGTTAATGCTTGTATTTAACAAATGACGCTAGTTGTCTCAGATTCGATATTAACGCTTATATCGCTAGTTGTTTTAATAGTACTATCACTTGTGTTCTAAATATGTCGCTTGTTGACATTAATGTTAAAAATAATTAGTTACAATTATTTTCGTCATTAATGTTTGTTTAGAGTCGCGTATAAAAATTATATCTACAATCATCGAAAAAAAAACCGCCTTTAAATTGTTATCCTTTTTACATCTCATAATGTACAAGTTTTATGTCTTATGTATATAAAAAAAAAATGCTTTTACAGCATTTTACTTACAAAAAATCCAATGAAGAAAGAAGTTTGTAGTAAAGCTACAAAAAAGAAAGCTATTACAAAAACTTTATAAACAGGAGCGTTTGAGGGGAAGTATTTTTTTAATGGGTGAAAATGGAATGGAAACCCCGCCCGCGCTAGCGGTATACACTGACGAGGCACCAGTGGAAGATGATAGGCATTTTGCAATACAAATTAAAATCTATTTATAGAACAGACTTGGTAGAAAGATAAAATAAAATATACTTATATTATAAATAGTTTATTTAAATGTATTGAAAAATTGCATGTACAAAGTATTAAAATGCATAAAAATACATACAGTATATGTACAAAATGATATACAGTATAGGTTGCATTGTAACAAGTAATTTAAATGTAAGCTGTTCAAAAGGGCGCCTATACAACAGAATTGGCAAATCATGTAAAAGAGAATTTTAGGTATTATGTTATTACTGCTGTGTTTGTAATCTTTTTTAATCAAAAGTTTACTTATACAAATATTTGTTGTAACTATTATCGAGATTTAAATCGCCAAATCTGCATACAGGTGCTCTCTTGATAAAATACTAGAAATAGCGTAAAAATGTCTTTTATTCTAATTAATAATTGTATATTCCAATTGCACATTTTATACGTGGTGGGATTGTCAGTTTCCCGACTCGCTAAGTATTCTCAATAGCGGACACATTTTTTTTAATTTTTTTTTTTTTAATATACCTAATGAATTGGAGTCTAAAGTCATCTTTAAAATGACAGTTTAATTTGATAGTTCAGCAAAACTATTATGGTAGAGATTCTCAAAAATTAAATGTAAAACAGTACCAATGCAATTGCACTAAGAATTAGTTTAACTCGGGTCCACAGTTTAATAATTTTGCTGTAATATTTAAATTAGGTTACAGAGGTAGAAAATATTACAATGTCTTACTTTCTTCAATATTACTTATAAAAACAATAGTAAATACAATTTTGTAGTTTTAAATAATTAAATGCGTATTGATGTCAAAAAGAAAACAAAAATAAAAATCATTATGCTAAAAATCTATTTGTATTTGCTGATTTGAAGACATACCGTTATCATAATATTCTAAAGTACCTTAAAAACTGTATGTATATGAATGTATATATTACAGCGTAAACGAATGTGCAATAAAATGACCAATATATTATTGAGAGAGCATTGATATAATACAATTTAACATTTGACTCAAAAGCCACAGGTTTAATCTCATATTACAAAACCCTATAAATATTTTGTTTTTTATTATGTAAATAATGTGAATTATAAAAATATAATTTCATTATCATTAAGCATTGTGGCCACTGCAAACTATCAATTACATTCGTTATAAGGTATTCTTTGTGGCATTTTTATCTACTAGTGAGAGCTGCCGGATTAACAATCGAAAGTTAATTATTTAGAATCTAAACAATAGGCCACTTTTCATAATGCATTCAGATATATACCTTTAATATAAATAATTACCACCACGACATTTAAAAAAATGCACGAAGTATTTCTTTTTTAATCATGCCATAATTTGACAATTATTATTTATTAACAAAATTCTATCAGGTAACAAACCGAAAATGCAGACATTAGAACATGTGCGGTATGTACATTAAGTACTACACTACATTAAAAATACTGTGTCGCCCTTTATTAACTTTCAAAATATTGAAACAAGTTTGTAACACACTTTTCTTATTGTAATTTGTGCGCGTAAATAATTTATCCTCACAAAAACATACAAAATAATACACAAAATTGCATTCCCAATAATACGGATTTTTGTGAGCAAACGTAGTTGTTAATATTTCTACATGTAAATTAACTCTTAGAATAATAATTTCAAAACGAGTCAAAACATTCTAATATATTTGCCCCTACTATTTAACATTGCAGCAAATACTTTACAAAGATCCAGCTAACACATTTATCTTAAAATATTAAAATTAAACTTTACAAATATTGAATAATTAGACTAAACATTAAAATATTGTGATGATAGTTCATTAACAGACGGCTGAATAAAATGTCACTTTAATACTTTATTGATACTAATACTCATTTGATTTACTTTCAAATATATATGACGAAGAATTCATTTATATGTATACATTTACAAATTTTATCATTAAACTATGTACAATAAAATATTCAAGCGATATCATAGAAGAATAACCTTTCAATTAAAGCTTTAAAGGCCACGACAGACATGATTCACTTTAACCAAGCACCGCTTGTAAATGCGAATAATTTGTTAATATATAATTTATAAGCAATCTCATTCATTTCTAAAGCATAAATATATTGGATTTCTATTTATTATGACGTTGTTCACTTATTATAAAACTACAAGCCGACTAATTACGTCAAAGCTCGTGTTACCGCGAGATATTAGGATATGTCATAAAGACAATCTATTTACCAATTAAGGACAAACACAATACAAACATTTAAAAACTATATAATACATATATAAATCACATACTAACCAATACTATAAGTTACGTCACAATGTCTACTTCTAAAAGAAAGGTTAAAATTTTCTAATACAATAAAAGATATTATGTACCAAGGATCACAGAACTAAGACTCAAAAATAATTAAATGTCTATGTTCAAATTTTATATGATCAAACATAATACAACACGGTCAGTTCATATACATATATTTCAAATATTAATCCACATTGGTGATGACCGTACCATACTTGGATCATACAATTACATACACCACCCTATGTTTATCTATCTATATAGTCACGCTACATCCCGTATAGAGTAGACAGTTGTCATTTATGTCAATAGACTACTACTTAAAACTAATTTCTTCTGTTGACAATCTTTATCAAATACTCTAAAATGTATCACATTAATATTACTTTCGTATTTGTATAAAGCAGATAAAAAACTTGTGATGATAGTTTTACTTAATTTAAACAATATGCTAATTCATATTTATTTCATGCGATGCTTGATTCTATACTGTAATATTCGACTTGGATCATCTTCTATACAAAGATACTCCATGCAAGTATTTCTCTAAAAACCATAACATTTATACATATTTGTAATGACTTTTGTCATATTTAAGTACCTAAATAATCACTATATTTATTATTGCATGTTATTTATGCCATTTATCACTCACGTATAAGAAATCCAATTATTATAAAAGCTAAGACACGCAGCAAACAAAACAATCTCTAAATACATTTACACCACTGCACATATGAGAGAACAAAATAACTCGTCTGATCTGATATCTCACTATTTGTATATCAATATATTGCTATAACTCTCAAATGACATTGTGAAATGACATATTCGTCATTTTTCAATAGCGTTGTATTGAATAAACAAAACATGCTTATATATTGACCAGACAAATTGTGGTGTGGTAAACCAGATAGTCAGACCTTCAAATAAGTTTGTAAGCAATAATGTCTGGCCCATTCGTCATACTCGTGAACAAATTATGCAAATACTAAAATAAAAATTTCTAAGGTTGCGCTCACTTTTACTTTTAAATATTATGCTAATAGTAAAATTGTACTAAATAAAAATATCTCAATCACTTTAAAAAGGAAAAATGGAGCTCAAATCTCATGAACCCACGGTTTTGTGTTCCTTTTCATACATCTCCGTTTATCGCATACATAATTGTCCAACACAGTATATTAACTGAAGCAAACAGAGATAGATCGCTCCGTAAATTTGTAACCTATCAAGATTCATCCTGGGTTTCCAAGTTAAAAATAATATTCTAATCCCAATAGTAAAATTAAAAAAAAATTGTGATGTCAAGTGTACATAAATAAGTCTACTTAAAAAAAAAAAAACAAAAAAAAAAATGTGGTGTAAAGTACACATAAATAAGTCTATTTAAATAAAACTATTCTATCATTACTTAACGCAGGCGGTAACTGTTTCTATATCCTAGTTGTAAAAAAATAAAGGTAATTTTATATTGGTATGGTAACATAAAGGTATTTAGAAATGCTTTCGTTTGCCATATGCCTACAGGTACAGGTAAGACTCCTAGTTTAAAAGACCAACCTGCGTCCACTTAAAATACTAAGTTCCATATCAGTTACATATTCCACTTAATTATGACTGCTTCTGGATGCTTCGGCATCTTTCCGAGTTATATTGAATGCTTCTGTCTTGAGGAAATCTACAGTTTTGTACGCGGAATCCGCATCGATGGCGGAAGATAGCTTGAATTGGGGTATATCCATTTTTTTAATAGGCACCTCTTTTGACTGAAAACATATTAATTCCTTATATGATAATAATCTAATTTTTTCATAAGATTAATAACATCATTATAAAACAGATAATAATAAAAAAAAAACATAATAAACACATTACAAGAAATGCCACACAATTATTATTACTAATGGCAACCTGTGAAGGGTTCCATAAGCGTAACATATATGTTCTTAGGTATCCATAATACCACTCATATCAACAGATGATGTTTACCGCTTTCCATTAGGTGGACTTCCAGTTGTTATAGTATCAAATAGCATAAAATAAACATGTGAAATCATGTAATTTAAGATTCTGTCAAGAATAGAACCTTCACAATATTTCAATTGTTTCTTTTATTTCTATAAATTTTAAATGTTTGTTTTAAAATTGCATACATAATAAAGAAAATAAAAAAATACCTTAGTATTTATGGGCTTAGACATATGAAGATCTAGATCCAAATATTGTAACACATCTGCTTTCACATCGTCCGATTGCCCACTCTGTAACACCAACTAGAAAATAAACAAAGACTTCAGGATAAAAAAATATATATAAAAATTAATATAAATATCATTTTTGTAATCATAATTACAAATTGCTGCTATAAAAAGTTAACTAAGTAGATTAACAAAGAATAATATATAGAACAGTATAAATAAAGAATATATGCTATGCTAAAAAATATTATATAACAAATTTTATAAATGACTTTTGCGTGAAAGGGTTAATAATACAAAAAAGACGAGCCCAGGGCCTCCGACTTAGAGTATTAATAAAAAAAAGCTAAATTTTGGTAATAACTTTTTAAGTACCTATTGTAATTTTCAACTTACATTTTCAAATTTCTTTTTGAAAAGTCAATAAGAAACATACTTAGTCATCAGGATTAGTAATGCGATGACGTTAGTCTATTCTATGATATCCAACGTGCTGTTTAACTAGCTAACTAAATGCATTCAAAAAGTGTTTAAAAAACAGAGATTTGCAAGTACTTTTTTATTATAGAAAGTGAATATGCTAATCATTATATTACCTGTCCATTTAGATTGTTTATATGACCTATACTGTGGCTGGAATGTCGTGGCTTCAGCGCACGGTCCACGGCGGGCGGGAGCGATGACAAATTGCAATATTGCATTGACTACAACAAATAACACAAAATTAAAACCACACTACAATTATACGTGTAAAAAATACTTTTTACTTCTTGGCACTTTAACAGCTTAACTAATCATTATGAAAATTGATACGTGTAGTTAGTAACATGAAATTTTATATTTTTTATTTTAAACATACCAAATGTCCAGGAGACATATCTTCTTCATCGTCAGTACTCCGTAGAGTGTTAGGAGACAAGTGTGATCGATTTGACAACGAAGCCGCGCCACCGTGAGACATGCGTCGAGGGCAACGACTCCACGAAAAGCCCTATAAATAGAACAAACAATTATAAAAGTTCACAAATAGACCTCCCCTTGCATTTCACAAATAAGTTGAACAAAGCAAGATGCGTGGGAACTTTTTATACTTTGCACTTTAAAACCTTCATTTGTGCAATATTCAATGCCTTTTTTAATTCGTCATTTAAAATACAAAAAATAATTTTATACAATAATATATTGTAGCATAATATCTATTCGTGAGTCATACTGAATATCGCGTTCATGAATAAGGCTTAAGGGTTCTTATAGTTTGGAACTAGATGGGCATGCCCTAATTTAAAATGTGAGTAAAGTCGACATAATTAAATACAATACGATAATACATTGTCAATTTTTTTTTTGTTACTTGTTAATTTTTGTACATTTCTTACAAAGATTTATAAATGGAGACCAATAGCAGTTAGTAATATCAGTGTGAAGTGTGCGACTGGTATATATAGCACAAATGTTAATAATTCTTGTTTGAAATAGAGGGAAATTGAGATTTTGCCATTAGGGAACTACATCTTACATTATGTATGACAAAATGGTAAAAACAATGAACAAATCAACTATATTGTTATCCTTATTATAAATGAATCACTTACACTAACATTCTCTTGAGACTCCATTGGTTCTTCTATCTTAGGACCTTGGAAAGTTTCCTTCTGTGACAAATCTTTACCCATAGTAAACGTTTTTGGAGGTCGAGGCGGTACTGGAGGACCTGAAAAATATATTTAATTAAAATAATACACTGATTCATATAATGGTAATTCAGGGATGGTACTATTCGTATGCCTTACCATCTTCTGATACACCATTTCTTTTTGGACTTATTGCTAATTTTGTGAACGACTTTTCCACAGTCCAGTCCCCTGTGAGACAAAACGTCATTATTTTGAAGGTGATATTGTATTTATCTATTAATAGTTAATATGAGAGATAATCACTATATATTAGTAATGTTTCTTTTGTGGGATTAAGTTATTATTTAGTTCATAAATTACTTACATCATATATATTACATTATGATCAAATTTAATCGACCCGGGTTTGGGTGTTCCGCGTTATGAAGCAATTAGTATAATTATTATATGCACTTATTAAGATATATAAAATTTGCTACATATAGCTATTTAAATTAGCCAGTCAAGACATGTTATTTTAAGCACTACATACCTGAAACAATTATTATAAGAAAATTTGTAAAGAAATATGGATCGTTGGGAATATAATTTCGATCAAGAAAACCGATTAATTGTCCCGTGTGTAGCAGGCATTAAATATATATGCGTATGTACTCACGTATATTCGATTGACTAGCATTCAACGATTTCCACTCTTCATCACTAAGGTTTGACTCATTTTCAGAAAAATCCGCATTGTTTAACCTTATATGGGGCTGGCTCATGTACATTTGATGACTTCTTGTATCGGACACCTTTTCAAATGGCGACCTTGTGCTTGTGACTATGTTTTTTGGATCAAAGGTAAAAGCTCTCCGGGAGTCCTGTTAAATTTTAATAATATAATGAATTAGGAAACAGGGAGACATTATATTTCAATATAATAACTGCTGCTTTAACCTACGTGTATTTTAGTTGGGAAAAATACACTTTCTCGACAAAATAGATGCTTTGAATCTATTTGTTATAATATTTTACCAGAGGAGTGTTAAAAAAATTAAAAAGAAGTCGTCTATTTGAGTATCTCTTAACCCATCCTAGTTTATATCGTGCCGAGCTTGCATAGCTATATTTCAGCTTGAAGGGTGAGGTATGGCAGAGAAATAACAGGGTACAATAGCTTAACAATATTGTCTGAGACAGACAGGGATTATTACAGTCCCACCGTTAGACCGCAATAATAAAAATTAACAATACAGATGACGGGGTTGCCTTTTAATTTTTACCTATTATAAAAAAATACACTACACTATTCAGGAACGGCAACGTATTAAGTGGTACTATAGGCGTCATTTGTATTCTGTGAAGATGATATTGTTCATATCTATAGTTGGGTTGGGTACCATTTTTCATCAGATAAGTCGTCAGGTTATTTGACATTATGTGTCTTAAAAAAATAAAAAGTATAAAAAGGGTATGTACCTGGGCACGGACTCCAGTGATACATTCCGATATTGGTATGTATGGACCCGTACATTCATATTGATCGTTAATGGCGGAGATTGCGCTCAAGTTATTCTGATAAGTACCTGAAAATATAATAATTTATATTAAACTATTAATCTATGTACTTAAGCTAAAACTGTGGCTTCTAAAGCTATTAAAAAAGGACTGCTAGCTGCAGCTATAAAAAAAAAAACGAATATCTAATAATTGCGTTCTATGTAGGAGGAGTACATCCACAACGAGTGGATATTGGACTTCTACTCGTATTATATTTTAATTCTATAAACGCGGTTTTAAATTTTGCTCGATTTATTTATATAGAACTCAAAGGGTGCTTATATACTGTACTGCACAGCCGTACAGTGATCTCGGTAATCTCAATACTACATACCAATTACTTACTATGTAGTAACGTATATATATATATATATATATATATATATATATATAAGTATATATATATATATATACGTTACAAACGTTTCAAACGGGTAAATGAGTCTTTTATGAGAATAGGCATTAAATGTTATAATAAGATAACTATTTTGAAATTTAAAACTGTCATTAAGAAACGCTTATTGAACGAAGCCAAATAGACACTAAAATGACAGAAGCGGTGTTAATCAATCATACACGTGTTTTTAATGATCATGTTATTTTAGATAAAGTACATTGAACTATTTTAACATAATGTTAAAAAATATTTGAAAAGAATAACTGTAAGTTTCTTACGGGTTCTTCTCAGTAGGTAATAATTTTTCGAACCCAGCAGTAAAATTATAACAAGAACTTAAAAGAGCTTGTAAACAAGTTTATTTGAATAAAGACAACTTCTATTCTATTTTATTTTGAGTAAAACGTTATGCAATAATTTGGATACATTTAAATTTCCAGCTCGTCCACGATACCGTCACATCTTGAACGTTCACGATATCATGCGAAAATTTAAAAGCGTCTCCGTGTTATGAAATACATTTTACTCTATAATTATATCGTGATGATAATAATTCAAATAAATAAAAAAAAATTCATTGCAGTAAACTTAATTATAAGCATTTTTGAATAGTCATTATTTGTTACCTATCTCTTACCCAGTACGGAATTCAACTTCAGCTAGAAATAGGCAACAATCACAGCTGTTCCCTTTTTCAATTAAAAGTTTAGTTAATAAAAATATGAATGGATACAATGATAATGATAAACTTCATATAAATAAAAACTATAATCAATTACAATATTCTTGAACAGGCCAGTCGCTCTACGAAGCATCCAGTCACAATTAATGAACCAGCAATCGTTAATAATCATTCACTTCTGCTTAATAATCATTTGCTTCTGCTTCATTTGCTTCATTGCTAGCAATACACCCTATCAGGTTAACCTCCACGCAGTTCCCTCTGGAAACCATCGTGATTATTTTTATTGTCGAATTTCTCTCGATAACTGCCCTGCCTTATCCACACCTATCATCCATCATTGGTACTTTGCCAATGTGGTATACATAACACAGACGGGGTTATTATTTCATTTTGACCCTTTAAAGAAACACCCATAGTCTGGGAGAGAGATTGTTAGTAATAAACAAATATACACTATCACTTCGAACTTCACGTGGCCCTCCCTGGAAACCATGGATCGTGAACGATTCCTAGTGCATTTGTCACGACGGCTAACTGATCTGATTTTATCCTCACTTATCATTACTCCGTCGTCGTGTCGGTCCCGGCATATAATGAGCCATCCCTTTTTTTCCTGTGGGTGTCGTAAGAGGTGACTAAGGAAACTTATGGTCGAGGGACGGGCAGCAGCATCCTTTAAAACATCACCAAAGGCCTAACTGCGATTGCCAACTCGCCTGCAAAGCGTGACCGCTACTGGCAAACCCCCTAATGGTGAACACCATAAGAAAATGGCACCTAGTCCCCAGCGGCTCCGCTATTCCTAACCGAGATATCGGTCACGGAAAAAGTGGAGAAGGCGGTGCTATGAATCTCCGGCAGAGATTCCGCTACCAACTAAAACGATTGGAACTGACAACTTACAATACGCGAACTTTGAGGACTGATGAGAAAATTGTAGAGCTGGAAGAACAGGTGAAAAAGTTACACTGGGATATCATTGGATTACTGAAGTCCGAAGACGAGAATATCCTGTAACTTGTTCTACCACTAGGAGAGTGACCATCCATCCCGTAGTTGTCCATGGTCCCATCGTCCGCAAGTCTCTCGTTAATAATATCTTAAAGTTCTAGAGTTAATCGGCAAGAGTGGTATACCTGTTACTCATAATTACCAAATGGTATTCACTGAAGGTTATACAGGTATATGCGCCGACCGCGACACACTGCGATGATGAGGTAGCAATGTATGATGAGGACATTACAAGAGCCATACATTCGTCTAATGCTCAATATACTGGGCACAAGGAAAGACGATGAGACGATAATGAGGAACTACGGTATCGGGCAGTGAAGTCCTAGGGCACAGCAGTTGGCTGACTGCATGGAGGAGGTACTCTTTACGATGAAGTTCTTCCAAAAGCGACCACACAGAAAACGGATCTGGGCTAGCTCCGATGGGTACACAAAAAAATGAGATAGAATTAATTATGACGACTAATCGCCATTTGTTCAATGATGTCTAAGTGATGAATAGGTTTAAAACCGGAAGTGATTACCGAATGGTAAGAGGCACATTGACCCTGAATATTAGACTAGATAGAATACCAGAGGGAGACTTTGTACAAAAGTCGATTGCTTGGGTACCTCTGTCCCATTCGTGTTTCAACCGTGAAGCAGCTGTGTTTGCATGGCTGTGTTTCGGTTTAAAGGGATATGGCGTGGATTTACTGGGTACAGAGGAATAACACCTGAAACCTCAGGAATGGCAACACATGGGGGTATCATGGGCGAAACAGTATACTCTGTTATGTCCATGGTACTGCTCATGTCTATAGGCGACGGTTACCATTTTCTATCAGGTGGGCCGTCAGCTTGTTTTGCCATTCTAAGTTGTATAAAAAAAAAACTAGAAAAGTTTCGTCTGATAAGACTACGCTCCGACCTTCGTATGTCCTTATCGAAAACCCCGAGTTTTCAACTCGAATAGTCGAATCGCTTTTAATGCCTGATGAAGTGTGAAACAGGGGACGATATCAATAATAAGCTAGAAGAACCTGTTCAAGCAGTTAGAACTAAATGTTTCTAACCCAAACGCTCAAAATAAACCCAAAAACTATCTGACCGCACTCTAGATCTTATGAGAAAACGGCGTGAATTATGGTTCCAATTTTTTCAACGTCTACGTTAAAATATAGACAGCTTAATAGGCAAATCTCCAGTTATATACGCCATGACATACTCCAGTTCAATACTGTATGCATTGAATAGGCAATAGAGAGAGATTAACGCTCCAAGGCGTTCGTCAGATATTTGGATATTGAGCGAAGCCAACTGACCAAGTTGAAATTTAATTTCCGCCACATCTGAGATTTTGAAGAAGTGAGATTGAGAAGTTCTATAGACAGCTGTACACAACGTTCTTAACACCGCATACCAATATAAATAACGACCAAAGAGCTAAAGTCAACCGACACTATACCGATGATATCCAGTGTATTAGTTTGCAGGATTGAAATAGCTCTCAGCTTTAAAACGGCAAGGCATCGGGGGAGGACGAAATTACAGCAGAGCTTCTGAGAACGGGCAGAAAACCGGTATTTATACTCCTTCAGAAGCTATTTGAAAAATTTATGCTCTAGAGATGTGGTGCTGCAACATATACAACGACGACTGCTGCAAATACCTTGGACAGCCTTTCGAACAAACGTTTCCATTCTGAACGAACTGAAAATCAGAGAGATTGTCGTCAACTGTTCGTATACGAATTCTCAAGTACTTCGGCCATATCATCCGGAATGAAGATTGTATGGAACGTCTAATTGTCCAAGGAGCGGTACAAGGCAAACGTTCTCGGGGTAGATCACCAACGCGATGGACTGACCTCATCAAAACGGCCACACAGCAGTCTATTGTGGAATGCTCTCGCTCGGCGGCGAACAGTAGTAGATGGAGACATATTGCGAGGTCCTCAATCGCGAAGGAGAGCCTCATCGACGAGCCACTGCCATTGTGAAAACCACGACCACTCTGTCAAGAGTGTACGACTGAAGAGAAAAGCTATTTAATGTCGTCATCCATAACAGTGTTGCACCCGAGGCGTGGAGCAGAAGTGTTGGTAATCCTGTTCTTCAAGAAGGGTGACAATTGAAGTACTATATACCAATATCCCTTCTGAATCGCGTCTAGGTACTCTTTCCGACAGTCCTAACTAATCGTCTTACGCGCAAACACGACGACATCCAGTCACCCAAACAAGCTGGCTTCCGAAAGGATTTTAGCACCATAGACCACATACATACGCTACGATATACATGAGACCGAAGAGTAAAATCTGCCACTATGACTGGTTTTTGTAGATTATGAGAAAGTCTTTGATTCGGTCGAGACATGGACGGTACTAAAGTCCCTTTAGCGGTGCCAGATTGACTATAAGTATATCGAAGTGTTGAAGTGTAGTACCAGAGTACGAAACCCATTACAGTGCAGAAAGGTGTAAGACAAAGTGGCATCATATCCCCGAAACTCTTCATAGCTGTATTGGAAGATGTTTTCAAACTTTTGAATTGAAAAAAAAATTCAATGGCGAATACATCACTCACCTTCGATTTGTCGATGACATAGTAATCATGGCGGAATCCCTGGAGGATTTGAATACTACGCTCAATGGTACTTCTCAACATATATATAATATAGTAAGTCCAACCTCGACCGAGAGGTTAACCGACAGATCCAACTTAGCTTGGCAACGTTTGGAGAACTACGTCACATCTTTTTATCCAGAATACCTGAGAGTTTAAAGACGAAGGTCTTTAACTAATGCGTATTGTCAGTTATGAGTTATGGAATCGAAACATGGTCCAACACGATTACTCGTATGCAAAAGCTTCAAATTACTCAGCGGGCTATAGGGCTACGATCGGAGTTTCTTTGCGTGATAGAATCCTAAATGAGGATATCCGCAAAAGAACCAAAGTAATCGATATAGCCCGAAGGATAAGCAAGCTGAAGTGACAATGGGCTGGTCACATAGCTCAATAAACCAACAACCAATGGGGAAGAATGGTTCTCGAGTGGCGACCTCGAACGGGCAAACACAGTGTAGGATGACCACCCACTAGATGGAGTGACGACCTAAAATGTATTACAGCGAATCAGTGGATCCAGGTCAGTGGATGCAAGGAACCACGTTCCTTATGGCAGTTTATGGGAGAGGCCTACATCCAACAGTAAAAGGATAATGGCTGAAATGATGATGATGATATAACTCACTGGTTTCTCGCCAGTGATACTGTGATAGTATACACTGATAACACAGGCGTTGTTATCTGCCCATTTTCACCATATTAAAAAACACCATACTCCTTAAGAATGACGACCTATAAAAAGTTCCATGGGTATCGCAGATTTTGTGACGTCCGTGACTCTTTTCACATCTATAGGCAACGGTCATTACTTTGCATCAAGTAGGCCGATAGCTTGTTTGCCATTCTTTATAATTTATATTAAAAAAATATATTAAAATTATATTGGTTTGTAACATTATTACAATTATACTTTCCTAAATTATTAAAAAAAAAATAATGCTCTCTATAGACGACGGTTATCACTTTCCATCAGGAGAGCTGTCAGCTCGTTTGCCATTGCAAGTTACATAAAAAAAAATTGCCAAACAAATGTATTGAATTATTCATAAAATTGTGGGGCTTACGTAAAGCATAAACATAGAATTTCCAGTCGCCAAGCAGTCATAAAAAAAATTGCACTTAATTCGCATACATAATATTTAAACATTCGAGAAAGCACAAAATAATCTATTATTAAAATTCTTTTACTATTAGAAATACGAAAATTTGTTAGGATGTTTGAATGTATGAACGTTACCCATATATCCAAAATTTTTGAATGGATTTGAATGAAGTTGGTACACTGGTACAATATATCCCAATATAGGATACTTTGTAGACTAATTCACACGGGTAAAGCCGCGGGAATCAGTTAATTATAATAATGATAAAAATTTTATATTTATTAGACTATATATTTAGGACTGTAACTTCCTTACTATTTACTATTATTAAAAAATTAAAAAGTTCAAGGTAATCAGACACAAGAATAAATAAAATTTTACTGCATTTAACACATTAAATATTAACAAATAATAAAATTGAATTTGACATTAATAGATGAAATTCGACATTTGCTATTTGCAGCGAAGCATAATAAAAGCGTAGCAAAATGTAGATATGTTAATAATATACACTAAAAAAAAGGCGAACAAGTAATTCAAGCCAATGGACAAGGTTATAACTGTGATAGCATCATAAATTCGACGGCAAATTATCAACCGCACTAGGTCTTTTAATTACATCAATAGTAGACTATATTCTACTGATCTTATGTGAAATCCATGCCTAGTAGTGGAACGGGGGTGGGTCAGTAAGTTAGCAGCTATTTGAATCAAGGCCCTGAGTTTTCAGCTCTTTTCTACCGACATTAAAAAAGAAGTAGGTTCTCAATTCGGTTGCATTTCTTTTTATATTTGTTACCTCAGAACTCCGTCTTTTATAAACTGATTTGAAAAATCTTTATCTGAAAAATATACTTTCAGATTTCGCCACCTACAGAAATTTTATCAAAACCATCTCAGTAGTTTAGTTTTAAATCAAAATTACTGGTTTTGCAAATTTAGTTGTCTAAGAGTTAAATTCTGCCCTTCTTGTAAAAACGATACTTTTGCATACAATTGGAATGTAAAAAGCAAGACGGTTTATTTGATAAAAAATACTAAACACGCTTTCTGTAAAATATCTATGAAAGCATAACACCTTAACCCTCAGGATTGTCTAACCATGATATTCGGTAATGTTTATGGAGCTGTACATATTTTTTTTCGTAACAGTTACCATTTTTCATCAGAAGACTGTCAGCCATTTGCCATTTCTAATTTCATAAAAATATTTCAAAATTATATTTACATAGAATTTATGTTTTGTAATTTACAGTTTCAGTATAACATTAAAGCGCAATAATATTACAATTAAATACACTGCAATACACTCACGTGAAAGAAAATGTGCAATCGAATACTTATCAATTGTAATGAATGAATATTGAAATGCAAAGATAAAAAAAAATTAGCGTAGGTATCAATAATAAATGACTGTTCAAAAATGCTTACAATTAATTTTACTTAAATATATTTTTACTTATTTATATATTTATTACATTTATCAGGAATTTACTAATTGAAAATTGAAATATTATTAAATATTTTAATTTACAATTAGAAATAGAAATATTTCGAAACGAGCGAAATTATAAGAATATTTACCTAAAACATTTGAAGAGTCATCTGTTGCTCGAAGTCCACAGACTCTGCATATAGCGTCGACCCACTTCTCCATTTCTGCTTCGCAATCAGCCTCGAGGTGGTACGTCCGCGATTGGGTTTGGATGGTGAACACGGATCCGCGAAGCTTAGGATCTAAAGTGCCATTGCCCGTTCTTTCCATATGCAATCCCGCATCCACCTGTAACAACACATTATCAATAAAATATAACGCCAATAAATTTTCTAAGGAAGAACAGTATTTGTCGTTGATTGACATGAATTATATTAGGTACATCCAAAAAAGTTCTTCATAGCATCCTCCAAGCATGTCCACACTAGAGATAAAGTCTACTACAATTTATATCAGACTAGCCTAGCTGTTGCAACCAGGAGACCGAAACACAAAAAAGATACAACTGCGAAAAGACTTTTAGGAATTTATAAAACAATTATATACAAAGACAACTAACATAATTAATGTGCTATTGTAATTTAAAAATAATTATAAATCAATAATAGTTTCTATGTTAACCAACAAATCTTATGTTAATTTAAATTACAAATCACAAGCACTTCCAACGGGAGCACGAGAACGATTGTTCAAACTCGATTTTAAACAGCAGTTCCCAGGAATAACCAAAATGGAATACTGTTACATTGTTAACATGATTACAAAAGGGGCATATAAATGAGTAACAGGAAAAGTTACTAATTATTAAGGAAACACTATACTAATAATACACGGGAACTTGCTTAGGGCTTATATTAGGTATTACATTACAATAACTGTAGCAGCTGCTGCATCCGCTCGGATTTAAAAATAAAATTTTAAAGACCTGCCTACAATACTATGAACATTTTTAATAAACCTATAGAAAATCAACCCTAAAAGGTAAATATAAAAAATATAATTACTAGCTGATGCTCGCAACTGCTGCGTCTGCGTTTCTATGGTTCAGAACTCAGATTTCTGAGTTCTGAGTGACATCTTGAGAAATTATTGATTCTCATATAAACTTTCATCCCCGTATTCAATCAATCTCTATACCAAAACCCATCAAAATTGGGTCTATGGTTTACGCGTGAAAAGGAGACATTATAGAATTACTTTTGCATTTAGAATATATAAGTGCCACAGAACCATACCAATCACCTGATTTTCAAGATAGAATACTCAGGAAGTAGACAATGATTATCTGAGAACACAACTCAGAACATCCAGAAACCCTAAATACACAGATATTTTTTATGAAAGATAATGGAAAGGTAACCTTGCAGTGGGGGATGACAGGTAAGAATAAAAAGGCAGGTCAGTTAGCCCAACATGATGAATAAATCGCGGAAATTCACTGGGATTTTCTAGGAGTGACGTGGAGGTCAACTTGGGCACACTCCCATCAATGGGACTAGTAGACCGCATTACTAACAATCCCTTCCCTCGCCGCCCTTAGTATATCAGTATGGATGAATGACCACCAGAATATTAGTAAACAGCTCCATTGCTAGCAAATATACCCATCAGGTCGACCTCCACATAATTCCCTGAAAACTATTGTGGTTAATTCTTATTGAATTCTTCAGGATGGCCTAACTGGCCTGTTTCCGTCCTTACCTTTCTTCACTCATTGGTGCCCCACAAGCGTAAACCGATAGAGCAGATAGGACAGGGTTACCATTCCATTATCATCTATTAAAAAAAACACATTGTTGAGATAATCGGAAGCATTGGACCATTGCCATTATAGTGAATACAACTGTGGCTGACTGTCACAGTTGCATTTATTTTCGACTTTTACTATCGACTTACCCATTTTATGCCAATAAACTATCATAAATTTGTTTCTTGAATGTGTGACCCTTGAGAGTTAATAATAAATTAACATAGATACACTCTTGCCTATATTTAATATCTACTAGAGATGAACCTTATAAAAATACCTTAAAGGAATATTCCTATAATAATAAAAAAGTTTTATTTTATAATGGAGCAACCATACTAACAACAATTACATGTAATCAAATCTTAATTTTCTTTGAATTCGCTATACAATGTGGCTATTAAAACCAAACGCCTAGCAATATTTCAGGACTACCTATTCATAATATATATAATAATAGCTTCCACCATGACTCCATGCAACTGGAATAATGTTAATTGATCATGAATTAGCCTGTCTTTGTATATCACAAATAGTATATATATATATTAAATTGAATAGGCCAGTAAACGCCAAGAGATAACAAACAAACAACACAAATTAACTTATAGTATTAAGTAAGGATAATTAAACTAAAAATAAATAAATAAAATAAAAATATTAGATATGCAAAATAGACACACACATGGAAAAAGTCGCAGACTGTTATAATAAAATTAAATAAAAAAGAATAGATTTATTGAAACTGTAATATAATAACTAAAATAATGCTTTAAAAGTGTCTGTAATTGTTAACTTTACTAATATATCACAATTGATAGTATTGAAGAAAACCTAAACTACTCATATTAATAGTTAATTTGAATATTATATTATATCTTTGTGTGTATATATATATATATATTTTATATAACTTAGAATGGCAAATAAGCTGACGGCCCACCTGATGGAAAGTGGTAATTGTTGCCTATAGACATGAGCAGTACCATGGACATAACAGAGTATACTGTTTTGCCCATGATACCCCCCATGCGTTGCCATTCCTGAGGACTCAGGTGTTATTCCTCTGTACCCACCCTTCAAACCGAAACACAGCCATGCAAACACAACTGCTTCACGGTTGAAACACGAATGGGACAGAAGTACCCAAGCAATCGACTTTTGTACAAAGTCTCACTCTGGCTTAATATTAAGATATTATATCTTTGTTAAAATTTGACTATTTTTAGGATGACTCTTAAATACAATTTGTCATCCTGACTCTCAGATACATAATGTATATGGGATTGCATGAAGTACTATTAGTTATATTATTATGGTTTATTCTGTGATCTCTATTAATTTTGTTTTAATAATATTGTATTTTTCTCAGTGCATGCCCCATGTTATAATTACTAGTAAATTATATTTTACAATGAACGAACAGCTCAGCTAGTAACAATAAGAAACATACTCAATATACCACAATATATAAGTAATAAATTTATGTATATCAAACTGAAAATGGTAAAACAGGAAATCGAGATCTTCAGCAATGATTTTGCTAGATATCCAGATTGAATAGGTATAGGAATGAATTGACCGCTCAATTACAAGGATTGGAAAGCATTAATTTCTCTCAATTAAATAGACACAGCATCCCGAGACTAGTAGAAAGATTTATAGATAGAGACTGAGACTGATTAATGGATTGACCTCATCATATAATAACAAAATTCAAATCTGACATCCAAACTGCATATTGGATTATGTTGTATGAGAAAGAGAAAAGAAAAAGAAGGAGAGATGGTTATGTATTATGAAGAATAAACTAAATTAGAGAACAATTTATACATGCACTCACATAAATAGTTTTTGACAAACTTTATCACTGATTGCAAATTCAGTTGAACTACACAAGTTAATACATTAAAAATAAGACTTAAATTCAAATGGTGATAAAATGTAAGATCAACTATGCTTAACACGATCAATGCTTAAAATGCTGTAACACCTATAAGTTTGTATAGTATTTATATTTTTTTATGTTCATTATTTAAAGGCTCTTTTATCGAGTCTGTAACTGGTCAGATATCCTGAAGTTTAATATGTGAGTAGTTAATATTATTAATATATTAATTATTAATATTCATGTTACTTAACCATAATTTTTTCCATTATTACCATCACATTCTATAAATTTTTACAACTTAGAATGGGCCATGCCTTCCTTTCCCAGATGTGTTATATGAGGCAACTAAAGGAATTTAAGGGTCAAGGGATGCGCAGCACGTCTCTCTTAAAACATAACCAATCCTAACAATAGTTTAAAACCCACCTGCCAAATATAACAACTACTGACAAAACCTCTCTTATGGGGAAGAATTGTGTGCAGCAATGGACAGTTTATAGCTAATATATTGATGATGATTCTATAAATTTTACATGATGTGAGATTGAATATCTTAGTTTGAGGTGACAAGGAATTGTTAGTTACAGGTTTTAAAATGCCCATTGCTAGTAATATATCCTACCAGGTTAACCTCCTTGCAGTTCTCCCTAGAAACCATTATAGTTCATTCTTGTGGAATGCGTCATAATAGGCTAATTGTTCCATTTATTTCGTAACTGGCCTGCTTTCATCCAGACCTATTATCTCTCACTTGTGCTCCTTAGTGTATACTTATAACACAAGCTGAATCAGCATTTTATTTTCACCTAATAAAAATTGATCTAATTTTAGGGGGAAATCGGATTGTCAATAATGACCACTAGTGACCCTAAATAAATACATTAAAATCAGAGATTTTTAATAATGGGGACTCGCAGCTCTATTACGAACAATAGCTGTCAGGTAAATCTCCATACAGCCTCCATTAAAAATCATCATGAATCAATCATAAATCGTAAATGTAAATAGGACTTTCCATGCTTAGCCTCTCATTTGGGCCGTTGTGCATACATCATGATTGATTATTGACGTAATTGTCATGATGGGCCAACTAACCTACTTCCATCTTCACCTGTCATTTTACACTGGTGCCCCGGCAGTGTATATCAATAACGAAGGCAGGGTTCGACCTTCACACAGTCCCCGTTGGAAACCATTATTGTTAATTCTTGGTGAATTTATGACAATAGACCAGTTGGTCTGGTTTTATATTCATCTATCAATGCTCATTGTATATTGTAGTAGTATATCAATAGTACAGGCAGGATCACTATTTTATTTTCACCCATTAAAAAAATATATCTAAGTTTAGACTTATGTAAAATATCTATAAACAAATCATAATTATATGAGATTAAATAAAAATGAGCAATATTGTTTTTTAGGAAAATATATGGAATTAAAAACTATATAACAGATTATGCTGTGTCTTTGCTAGCATGTACAGTATGGTCTAGCTGTGTACCAAATTTAATTCAACTTCATTTGGTCATTTAAACATTAGTGAATAACAAACATCTAATAAACTTATAATATAGAAGTTATAATATAGAATGTAATGCCTTATGTTTTAGAAAATGTTTACTGTTGTAATAGTGACATTAAAAACAAAAATAATTAATAATATAGAATTATATATAAATACTAATTAAAAATATTAAAAACATATTTTGTTGCACAGTTTAATAACTTTTTATATAAGTATAAATTTAGAGGGAATATATAAGGAGTAGGTATGCGTTTGTTTAATAGTAAACAAACTTCTAAATATCTAGTTTATCACGAATTCAGAATAAAAATTGACTACATTTAACGTAACAATATAAATACCTGTTCGCACAAATCTAGATTGATAGTGCCCTTGAGTCGCCTGCAATTCCGGTCTGCGTAATAGTCGAGGAAATATTGACCAGGGAGCTCCCCCGACTGACGCAAGGCAAACCACCTTCTCCGCCATTTCTACAACATGTGAACAAGTATGCGTATTTATTATAATAAATACATGATAAATAATAAAATATATCATTATTGTTATGGTAAGATCAACAAAAAATCTAAACATTCTACATATTTTAACTAACGCAATAGTCACAATCTGTCAACAAAGGTAAAAGTTACAGCTTGAACACGATACTTACAGTTCTCCAGATACGTTTTGTAGGCGGTGACTTAGTTAGCCATCCTTCGAAAACAATATTTCTAGACATACTTTAAAATCGGAGGCTTATCTTTGAAACATGAGTCACAAAATATAATTTATTTGTAAGTCCTCCATACCTACATCTCCCAGAGTATGGGTTTGTTAATTTTTTTCTTTTCTAACTAATCAATGTATCCAACATACTGATAAAAATAATGCGTTCGGATAGTCATAAAATTGAGAAAATGACTGAACATTGTTGCCAGCTAAAGTAGGTAAAGACCTCTGTACACGATAATCATCTTTGGAAATATCGTAGTATACATAGTACGAAACAATACTTATCTTTTACCTAAATAATTTACTTTTATCCTTATAAATAAAAATTCCACTAGGGCTGTCAAACTCCATTGCTAACAATCCCTTTCCCCCAAACTGTGCTAGATGTATTGTTTTATTTTACCTCTATAGACTGTAATAAATTTATATATTCGCTTTACAAACTTCGGCGATAAAAGAAGGATGAAAGTGATATTGTTCACATTTTTGATCATAAGTCAAATACTACACGGTATAAAAATAATGATATAAGAAAAACGGTTAAAGAATATATAAACAAAGGCCTTTTATATAATACCCCACTTCAACTAGAACGATCAATTTGAAATTTTCAATAACATTTTTTAATCTGTAGCAAACGTTTTCTCTTCTTATTTATTTTAAAATATATGTAAGTGAACGATATCTTAAACAATTATAAATTTCAAATCGAAAGCTTTTGTTGAGATAAAGCGCTACGACAATCAGACGGACCATAACAATTCCTGTACCATTTTGTTTATCTGTAATTTTGTACGGAATCCTCAAAGTGAACATGGTATATGGCAGCAAAACGAGGTTCTATTTGTTGTCATTTGCCATTTTTAGTAATAAAACCTCCTTAGTTAATTATCTACTCAGTAATTGGTAGTTTTGTATAAAGACATAGATTAAGGATAGTGCCTTTTGGATATAGCAATAAATTGGAATACTAGTTTTTATTTTTGTTTTAGGTATTTGTCAACCCGCAGACGAAAAAATGTAATAATGGAAAATAAACTACATCCTGGAGACCCTCGAAGTAATGTGGCAAAATTTAGTGCATTCGATCCTGACAAGTATGCCAAACTGTTGTTTTAACAATAATTTGGTTTTTCTTTACTTGGTACAGTATATAATAGTGAACAACTCTGACGTCTACCTACTTCTGTAATATACTGTCAAGTTGACCAGTACATGATCATCATTAGAAACTGTGTGAATTTCCTGATAAATTAGTCATGATCTAATTTACAACTAACCTATTTTTCTCCTTCAACTAATCCATTCCATGCTGCCTGTACAAACAAAGCAGGCGATCTTTTGCAGGGGGAAAAGATTGTTAAAAATGGGGATCAAGAGCCTCATTGCTAGTGATATCAAGTCGACCTCCACACGGTTTCCCCTGGAAACTGTCTTGATTAGTTCTTCGGGAATTCATCACGTTGGACAAACTAGTTTGCTTTCATCCCCACTTATCATCCCTCGTAGACAGGGGCTCTGCTAGCATATAGCGCAGGCGGGATTACCATTCCATTAAATTCCCAATAAGAACCTCCCTTTTGTATTCATTAAAATAAGTAACTACCTATTATAAAAACAAACGCCAATTGCAATATTATCTGTTTTCTTTTCCAACCGACTTCAAATATAAGGAGTTCTCAATTCAGTTCTTTTTACTACCTCATGACCCCGTCAGTTGTATAGCGATTACGATTATTTGTTTTATCTGAAAAAATACACGTACAGACTGGTTCCATAGAATTTTTTTTAGAATCGCTTCAGAAGTTGAGATTTCAAATCAAAATAACAAGTTTTGTCACAATCGAAGTATTTTTTTTTGTGGAATACAGGATGGTCGCCATATTGCATGTCAATATTGTGTTCTTTTATTATGCGTTGTGTAAAAAAAAAAACACATTACGCTGTTGTTTGAATAGCAAAAAAGCTGTCGACCCACATGATATGAAGTGGTAACGATCATCTCTTGACGTGAACTACACCGGTCATCATACATTACGACGCCTATGCATCTCTCATATTTCATATAATGTTACGTTTAGATTATAGTGTTTCGTTATAATCCGAAACTCACAATTGCTTTACGACTAAAGTATGATTGGGACAGAGGTGCTCACACAGAGGACTATTGGACATAAAATGTCACTTATACAAATAAGTTTTTCCTAACTTTTTTTTATGATAAACACATTTTTTCAGATATGTTATTGACGACGTTGCTCTTACTGTTCGTACTAATGAGGCTTTGACACCAGGCCGACCTCCTTCCTTGACACAGCAAACTATTGGCAAACTTCTACAACCACTAACTAGAGAATTGGTCGAAGTTCCGCCTAGGTAAAATGCCTTTAACTTTACCTCCTTATACAGAATCAGTAGCCTTTTTTGTTTATAAACGTTCGACGACAATAAAATATTTAATAAGCTGCTTTATTTTCTACAAGTCAATAATATGAAAAAAAAAAATCTTAAAAAAAGTCAATTTTTCGCTGTATTAATTTTTTTTGCAAACATCGTTTGTACCATGTTAAGTATTCTAATACCACAGATAGGGGGGAAGGGATTGTTAGTAATGGAGACTGAGAATCCCATTGCTAGCAATATACCCAACCAGGTCGACCTCCTCGCGGTTCCCCCTGGAAACTATCATGATTAATTCCTGATGAATTCATCATGATGGGCTAACTGGCCTGTTTTCATCCTCATCGATCACCCTTCACTGGTGCTCCGCCAGTGTATCCCGTTTGCGCAGGCGGGGTTACCATACCATTTTCACCCATCAAAAAAAAATATACCACAGATAACATTTAAAAAAATATATAAGTTTTAAAAAAAGTAATACACCATATATGCCCCTATAAAATTTAAAGTTTGCACTCGATTTCCCTGGGATCTGCTCATGAGATCCTGTTTTAGTGACAATGGGTCACCTCAGGCGTATACTCTTTCGAATACAAAAAGAATTTTTAAAATCTGTCCACAATTTACGAGGAAATCTTCTTTAGACTGTGGCTAAGGATAAACAGTCAAATTGTGTGGCACAATATATTTAGTTTTTAACAGGCCTACTATTGATGAACTGCCTGACGCCGTAATTGATCATATGGTACAAAGAGATAAAGCCTTTTGGGTTGACAAACCTGGCACTAATGCATATACGCTACATGACGCCTATTACAATTATGGTATGACAACGGAGATAGTCAAGCCACGTAAGTGCTTATTTATTTCTTGATATTATACCTACCTTAATATATATAAATTCCGTGTTACAATGTTCGTTCACGCTAATTTTTACAACCACTTAATCGATTTAAATTAAATAAATTCACCATTGTACTGTTCAATACCTTTTACAATAATAAATTTTGTTGATGACATAGCTAGTTCTTCTCCATTACTATCCTCCCTTCCCCTCCTTCAGGCAAAAACATTAAACCCAAGGATAGTAACATGTAGTAACAGAAGGGTAGTAACAGGGACTAGCAGCGTCAATACCAGGAATAGGAGGTCAACCGGACAAGGTTGTCCGGTTGACCTCTACACGGTCTCCATTAGGAACCATTGTGGTTAATTTCCGACGAATTCTTTACAATGGTCTAACTGATCTGCTTTCATCCTAATCTTGGTATTCTATCATCTATAAAAATTATCAACCAATAAGCCCCAATAATACCACCTATAGTCGGGATCTCTGAAGAATACATGTAGTTTATTGCTGCATAAGGCTTGATAGTAGATTATTTTATTTCGCTTGTCATATTTCGACTAATATCTTATGCTCTCAGCACACCAGGAGGTATTCCCTCGTTCTTATCAGTACGATCTTGACTGTATAAAGTATCGTCGCCAACATGCCTGCGATGGTCTTAAAAAAACTGAAGAAATGCTACAAGTAAGTTGAAATCCATAATAAGAATAAAAGATTGTTTGTTCAGTTTATTTGTTTCTTTGTTACCTCTTGGAGCATTAACGACGTGTCCACTCGTCATTAAATTTAGTTATCACATTACATTTGAAATTGATAAAGAGGTATTCTGATTGATCAATTTATCGCGGTTACGCGGACGAAATCGCCGGTAAAAACTAATTAAGAGTATTTATTTATATGCTTTTGTACAATTACTTATAGATATTAGGTTATAACCAAAATGTAAACAGATGGGCATATCCCTTAAAGGGATTTCTTCTAGTCAACATTGAGAATTCGAAAGGAGAAAGTATTTATAGGGTTTGTATATAAAGCATAACATATAAGGTGCAAAATAAAATATATGTGTTCATACTCAAGCTTACTTAGTATTTCTACTAGATTATTTAAGACTTATTACATTAATCACGGAATAAGTTGCACATAAAACAAATAATCAACTAAAAATTATGCAACAGTTTCACAATTTACTTTCGTACTTATTTACTTAATAGGTAGACAATTAATTACTTGTAACCATGTGGTGATAATAACGGTACAACACAAAATAAAAAAGTACCTTTGCACCAAAAACCCCTTAAGCTGTATACGTGCAACTGTATCTTATCTTATCTCTCTTTAAAGTGTCTAAATGAATGTAGTTACAAAATTGGCCGTTTTCTCGTTTTGTACCAATACTTTGAATTCATATCGCTTTGAATTTATTCAAATATCTATCATAGTTTCGTAGAAAAATAATTTTAAAGTATGGGATTGCAACCCCCTTTATCAAAAACGACTGAAGTTAGTCAAAAATTATTTCCAACAACTAGCAATATATTAAAAGTACCAATATTGACAAAGATGCCAGTACAGATTTCATATGGAAACAGTTGGAAACAGAAAAACCGACTTCAGTTGGAATAAATCCAGTTATTCTGATTTAAAAATTAAAGTATCAAAATCTGTAAGCTGTAATCTGTTCAGATAAAGAATTTTCCAAATCGGTTTACAACTGACGGAGTTAAGAGGTAACAAATATAAAAAGAAAAAAAAATACAATCGAATTGAGAACCTTCTTCTTTTCGTACTTGGTTTAAAATATCAATGTGCTTTTAGAAACCGCTTAGTGCTCATTGCCGAGACTGCAATAAATATAATACTCCTAGCCCGACCCCTTTTCAATTGGCTTGGACTCAAAATCCTGATCAAAGGAGATGGAGATACTATCCTGACCTAACTGCTACGCTCACAGCAGAAGAAATACGACAGTTAATGAACGAGTATAAATATATTTTTTCCAATAGCTACCCATTTCAAATTAATAGAAACTAAGTAATTTAGATCAATTTAAGTAATTTAAGATCGTGTAGGTACCACAAAAATAAAAGATTTCAATTATGGCTAAACTGGTTATTTTGATTTAAGAACTAAAGTACTGAACCGATTTTGATTAAATTTCTATGGAATCAATCTGTAAGTATATACTTCCACATTGGAAAATAATTTTTCAAATCTGTTTATAACTGACGAAGTTATAAGGTAAGAAACACACATAAAAAAACACAACCGAATTGAAAACCTGTTTTTGAAGTCTGTTCATTGTGACTTAATTATATGTACCTACTATGCCACCTTAGAATAATTCCTGTTGCTTAGATACATACCTGAGTACTTATTTTTCTGCTTTCTATCTTTAATCAAAATCTGACATTTTCTATGTAATTTGTTTTTAATTAGAAATGAACAATAATACCTATGCATAGAAAATATCATAATCAATGCTATCTTTGTTTCAGAGTAGGACGTCCGTTTTATAATGAAGCTTGTCAATGGTACAATAAAAATTACACGTCTGTAAAATACAATTGCATTTTACGTAAATTCTCGAAATAAATATTATCTCTTGTTCACAGTTAATTTCTATAATTCTTAAAAAGTTTAATTTGATAATTAACATAGTAATCAGAATTAGTGTGAAAATGAACACAATGTGGAAGTTATTCGCGGAAACATAGTGTAACCCAGCATTGTTTATAGGTTCACTTCCTATCTCTTATCAGCATGTATGTATTTTTTAAATATAATAAACGAATAGTCCACCGACATAGTACATTATTCTAAATCTATGAGTCCACCTAAAAGATAATGGGAAATGTCGCCACTAATGCTATCGCCTATAGATATAAACACCGTGGCCAGGATAGAAAATTCAACCACACAAAATAAATACCTAGAATACTTTGCTACTTACGGCATACCACTCCAAGGAATAAGTTGCACCTAGTCGCAATCTTAGCTTGCTTGCTTGTGTGCATTTTTTATGACATTAGTACCACCTTTCTGTTCAGAGATAAAGAATCGATCAGTCAGGCCTCTTTAGTCGTAGAAAAAAAATGCCAAGTGCTATACCTCGTTTGTAGCAATCAGATCAAGTAGGTACTTAAATATAATATGCTATAATAATAGACTTATTGTAAAGTATTGCTATAATAATATAATGTATATTTTTTTTATTTTGAAACAAATATGTTTTTGTTAGTAAAAAAGTAATAAATACTCTTATTACATATCTTCTTATCTAGCCTCACTTGTCTGACAACATTCACTCTTCTTTTGTTTACACTTATCAAAATTTTAAGTATGTAATAATATTTCTGAAACTTTAAAATTATAAAAATATAGTATCCCATTCCCAAACATAAATAACAATGACTAAGCAGGATGACGGCCTTTTCCTTCTTGAGGTACTTGTTGACAAGATAGTATTTGCGAATAGTCCTTGCTTCGCCGACAAGGATTTTAGAACCTGTATTAATATAGAATGTCCATCTTTTGAACCTTTAGAAATATGTGACAATGATTCCGGTGCCTGTATTGCAAAAAGTGGTGAATCTTTTGTTACAACTTTTAATAATGGCAAGTCATGTCTTTTTTCAATGAAAGAATCTGATATAAATAAAGCTATGAGCAAATTTCCTATAAAAATATCTGTTTACAAATCTCTTCCATGTGGATGTCTACCCACTAAGATAATCATAGGAGAAGCAATAATTGATATGACTAAAGAATTCGTGCAAGCTCGCAAAAAGTTTCTTGAAGATCCAACTAATGTTAGCTACCAAGCTTTAAAAGATTCGTTCCATATCGTTGGCCCTGATGGTAATGAATCTGGAGAAGTCGTAATGTTCTTACGTATATCGTGTTTTGGAAAGCTGATTATTACCAGATTTCAAGGAGGAGGAGTCCAACCGAATTTAAGTAGTCGTGGGAGTTCAGCTGTAGTAGACCGATCCTGTACACCACGAAAAGACTTTCAAACATCGCAAAATCCTTGCGTTTGTGGGGCTGGTCGGGGAATAAATGTTACAGGTGGAATTGGCGCTATCAACGGACAACCTTGCATGATCGACGGTGGAGGAGGCTTTGGAAGAATTTGCCCACCAGGTATTTTACTCGTCTGTATTTTTTTCAATAGACGATAATGGAATGGTAACACCGCCTGCGCTAACTGTATGTGCTGGGAACGGGGTATCAGTGCTGGATCATCATCATCATCATATCAGCCTTTAACTATCCACTGCTGAACATAAGCCTCCCCTTTGAGAGGTTGAGAGGGAAGAAGGCCAGTATTTGCCACGCTTGGCGGATTGGCAACCGCAGTTAGGCTTTAGAGATATTTTAAGTGGGACACTGCTGGAAACCACTGGAAAGGAAAGGGTGGTCTATTCCATGGCGGCACCCGGCCTACCAGTGACGAATAATAGGTGAGAATTAAAAAGCACGTCAGTTAGCCTATCGTGATGAACACACCTGGAATTCGGCACGATAGTTTATAGGAGAGACTGTGTAGAAGTCGATCCGACAGGGTATATTGCTAGCTAAGGGACTGGTAATCCACTTTACTAACAGTCTCTTCCTCTCCACTCATCTACATTAAGTCATATCAGAAGGATTTAATTGTTTAGGCGATAAAATAATATATCATAAATACTTTGCAGCTCGAGATTCTTACAATAGTATCCCATGTGAGGACCTAGATGACCCTTGTTATTGTTCTGGCCCCAAATCAGCTGAAAAACAACAAATGGTCTGTAGAAATACTGACCAATACTGTTTACATGTACCAAAAGGTAATTAAAATTTAAAGTCATAAAAACCTTGTAAAATAGTTTCTCCCTAAGGTAAATAGATATTTAAGTGTTATACAATTTACTATTATTTAATTTATTATGAGTATTAGTGCATAATAACGTTTTTATATGGCAAAAACTGAATGCATGAGAATCACTTTCTTGATGGCCAGGTCACAGTAAACAATTTGAAGAAATAGGCACAAATTTGGGCGGCAATGAGCTTAAAATAAAAGTACCAGCAAACGCATCTATAATTAAGAAGATTAGTCAGAGTCATTGTGCAATGCAATGTCCTTATACTAAAGGAACATATGATAATTCTTGTGAACCACCATGCGGAAAAAATCAAATTACTCTAACATTACCCAGTGAAGCTATTTGTTGTCGCGGTGCTCAACCAGCTGGAACACAATTTACTTGCACAACAGAAGGATGTATACAAGCTTCTAAGCACGGCCAGCAGGCTGCTTCATCACGCAGTGATACTAAACAACAAGAATTACCAAATAAAGAAGTTTTTGTATTGAAAGTAGCTAAAACTGCTATGGAAGGGGATAAAAAATGCAAATTAGAGTTAGAATTAGTTACTCCTAAAGGTCCAGATAAGAAATCACCCGTACAAAAAGTAAACACAAAAATACAATCGGATGTTGATTGTGATTGTTGCCGCAAACGACTAAAGAAATTCAAAGGAAAAAGGCGGTGTTAATTCTAAGAATAGACAAAAAACAAGCACATGTGTATTTTTAGCTTTTAATCTCAAATTTAGAATACATTGTTTATATCATTTATGTTACTAATTACTTATATTAATTTCAATATTTAACCAATATTTCAAAGAAATAACGAATAGAGTATAATTTATTATAACTCATTAAGTCTGATAAGGTCAACAAATTGTGCAGATTGCTGTCCAACGGGAAACAAGGTCATATTCCAAATGCCTTCTTATATCTGCGCTATGGGTCACAAGCAACGGGCTCATTTTAACTTTACGTCAGATGGCATTGGAAATGTATCGAGAGATGATCCTGGTCAATTAATGCCCACTACTACAGCAGATTATCCTGGTGTTATATACGACTTTCCAAAACAAGTAATTAAATTGAGAATCGGGAAAACTATAGAAATGCCAGGCAGGAAATCAAAACTGGAATACCAATTTATTACACCTGTCATAACACAAGATAAAGTAATACCAGTTAAAGATACGCGCACTACGCAATGTATTTCATGTAATCCAGATTTTTCGTCAAAAAAAGTCACAAAACGTCATATATAGAAATATTTTATTATTAATTAAATGAATGTTCATGTTATGTATTAATATGAGTAATTAATTAAATTTTATATTAGTGTATAATGGTTTTCTTCTCTCTTACTTATTTTTGAAATCTGTTAATTATTTAAAGCAAGCAAGCAGTTCTTCAGTTATTTATATCACATGTCTTCGTTTATCTCTTTAATTATTAACGTTAAATATCAACTCGTCGTAGGTATATTGCCGAGCTTGCCGTATTACCAAGAATTAACAAAGGACCAAAAGCAGGAAATAAAAACGATGATCAAAACTGTGGAGCAATATAAAACGGAAGAACGCTTAATGTTAACATCTATAAATTCTACATCACAAACTGTAACTGCTATCAGTGATAACTTGAAAATATCAATAGAAAGTATGAAATTTCCATACTGGACATATAACACAAATTTATCATCTTCCGAAATATCCTCTGTCACTTCATTGTGTACTTTGCGATCTAAACGCCGCAGTGTGTCATTTTCAAACACTGTTAATTGTATTTCAAAATCACATCAGTCTTTTTCTTATCCTCTAAGAGATGATGACAGTAAACGTAACATTTATTTTGAAAAAGATTATTTTGGAGAGAATGAGACTACAGTTTATATGACGCTATTTGACAACTTTTGTCGGTGTCGCACGTCAGGCACACAGGCTACAGCTTCTATAAATAAATGTTTACAAGTTTGTCATAATAGCAGCACAGATACTCATCCTAGTGCAATCGTAATAAATTCAAAATTGTGTTCAACTTGTAGCCTACCTAGACCCAATAGAAATATCACACAGCGTAATCCGAATATGCACAATTCTAACATTTTTTTCTTTGGCATGAATAAACAACAAGAATCAAATAAATCGGGAATGGGAAGTTCAGGATCAAAAACCAAACTAAAAGGAACTGCAAAAGCTACTGTTGCCCCAGTTAAAAGTGAAAAAGGTACTTTACGTGAAACGACTTCTATACAAACTCAATCTAAAAGTAGTTCTATAGCAGTGCAGACAAAAAAAGCAAGAGATTCTTCAACAGGAACCTCTACTGGAAAAGCAGTAACTATTAAAGAGAATAAATTAGGAAAGCCATGCCCAGCACTACGTAATGTAACAAAAGGAGATATGATGACAACAGTATCACACATTCAAATTACTCCTAGAGAACTGTGTCCTATAAATGGCACAGAACCTTGTCTAGGACCTAAATGTATTATCGCTGCATCAGGAGGAGAACAAGCTCCAGTTAAAGTCACAACAATGACAAATCCTCGTCGTGGAGTTTTTGAATTAATCATTCGTCGAATGACTGGAGCTCCATTGGCAAAAAATGAACTCATGTTAGAATGGACTCCACCGCCATCCCGACCACTGCCATGTAGATCCTCGTGCCGTATCATACCATGCTATCCACCAAGGACCGGTCGCCAAACAAAGTGCAAGATGATCGTATCTCGACATACACCATGCAAACCTAAGTGTTGTAAAAAAAGTTGTAAGAAACCATGTGGGCCTGTGTCATGTAAGAAATGTTACATAGCTTCATGTTGTGGGAAAATTTGTCGGCCATGTAAACCATGTACTCCATCTCCTTATAGTAAGCCTTTCCCACCATTATCTAAGTGCAAACGTAGCATTCCATGTTATTATTGCAAATCCTACCCATCATCACCTTGTACGAAGCCTTGTTTACCGTCACCTTGTCCTAAACCTTGTTTACCATTACCTTGTTCTAAACTATGCCCGCCATCAGCATGTATGGGCTCATGCTCTCTTTCACCTTGCAATCCTTGTGAACCGCCCTGCTGTAGGAAACCTTGCAGTTCTTCATGTAAAAGCACACCATGTCTACGCCCATATCCCGTGGGACGTAAAAAGACCAGAAAAGCTCATAGTCAGCCGAAAATTAAAGCCCATCGAAAGCGCAAATCTCCATGTTGCAACCGTTCAAAAGCTTGCCCCGTGGTCAAATGTCGTAGTATGCCTGGTCCATATATTGGTTGTAACAGCATACCTCTATGCCCACCACGTAAATGCAAATCTGTTTATCCTTGCAAGCCGACCAAATGTTAATTCTGTTACTGCGGATAAAATCAGTTTGCAGATGCATTCAACTATTCAAATTTCATTTAAAGTATGTAGTAAATAAATTTGATTCCTTAACAATTAGAGTATTAATAAATAAATGAAACAAATCTAGTAAGCATATAATCGTTAGTAAAACAATCAGGGTCGATTGTGACGATTGTGTACAATCGGCACAGCTCGACTGGGTATCATTGCTTTTTATGTCCTCGAAAAGTAGAATAACCACATTTAACTTTCATTTAGGGTACACAGTATCATATTAGATATAAAAGACGAATGAAATGAAACTAATTTTTATATATTTTTATGCTATATAGTTTTTAACTTATAATCGAAAATGTAAAAAAAGAAAAACAAATCTCCCTCCCCCTGTTCTCCGAAGTATGTGAAGCAAAAAATCTGAAATAATTTATGAAATTATATGTGAATATTACAAGAAATAAAACAATGTTTCTAACTAATTAATAACTGCAGCTAAATACTTGTAATAAAAACATTAGAAGAACTGTTCTGGGTAGTAATTCTCCAAATGTAAGGTTCTGTAAAATTATAAAGTACAGCTATACTATCCAACTTAATGTAGCTTCGTAAGTCTTCTTCGTACTAACTAAAACTGTTGAATCCCCAGTATTAAGCAATTTTAAGAACCTTGATTCAATGGCAGGGGATATGCATCTCAGCAGTGCCTATCAATGTATCCTAGGGAAGAGCGAAATATTGTCTAGTTCTAGTAAATGATTTTAGTAGGAAGGTATTCGGGTATTTGTTATCATCTAAGACTGAAGTATTTTCTAAGATCTGTTCGTTTGTTGTTTTTGTCGAGAATCAGACTGGTAAGAAAATAAAGCGACTTCGTAGTGACAATGGTACAGAATATATAAATAAAGAATTTCAAAATTATTTAGAACGTCGCGATATTAAACACGATAGAACTGTACCTCACACACCAGAACAGAAAGGTGTAATGGAACGAACCAATAAGACAATAATTGAAAAGGCTAGGTGTATGTTGCATGATAATAATCTTGACCAGAGATTTTAGAGTGAATCTTTAAATTGTGCTATATATTTAAAGAACAGATCACCCACTTTGGATCTTTCAAATAAAGCTCCTGAAGAAGTTTGGATAGGTAAGAAAGTAGATCTCTCTCATTTTAGAGTTTTTGGATCATCTGCACAAGTTCTTATAAAAGATAGTAGTAGAAAGAAGATGGATTCAAAGACAGTAGAGATGACAATGATTGGATATAGTGATATGGGTTATAAATTTGTAAACTTGACCCACCCAAAGCGATTTATAGTTGCTCATGATGCGATATTTAATGAAAAGATAACAGAGAGTTCTATAGGTCAAGAAAATAAAAATGCTTTTAAATTTTGTCCAAAAACATCAGAAGTAGTGGCGGTTCCTTGTGAAAATATAATACTTCGAAATCTTGAAAATATAAATGTGCCTATAAATGTTGAAAAAATAAATATTGATATTACGAAGGTCACACAACAACTACACACAGAACCTGTACGCCAAGATGTTTCAAGCACAATAGACGTGGATGAGGTATTCCATGATTCTATTTATACTGAACCAGGTGAAATTATGGTTGACTATACAGAATCAGCTGAAAGAGGTATAAATAATCGAAATGATATAGAAGAGCTAGTGATTCAAGAAAGAAAGTATCCATTGAGAGATAGACGTTTGATTAGAGATCAAGATATGGTCTATAACTTTTATATATCTGATGGTGCTGACCCTGTGTCTGTACAAGATGCTGAACAACATTCAGATAGAGAGCTGTGGCGAAAAGCCGTGGAAGACGAATACGATTCTTTGATAGCAAATCATACATGGGAACTAGTTGATCAACCTAGAGATGCCAACGTTGTTAAATGCAAATGAGTTTTTAAACTTAAGACAAATACTGATGGCTCGATTCAACGTCACTAAGCGAGGCTTGTGGCATAAGGTTTTTTGCAAAAGTGGGGTAAAGATTATTTTAAGACTTTTGCCCCAGTAGTGAAATTATTTTCTATGAGGCTTTTGATAACCTCGGCAGCTGAAATAGATCTAAAAATTCATCATATAGACGTAACAACGGCTTTCCTTCATGGAGATCTTAGTGAAGTTATATAACATAATATAGAACAGCCAAAATAATTCGTTCAAAACCCTATTAAAGTATGTAAGTTGAAAAGGCTATTTATGGATTAAAACAGGCTACGCGATGTTGGAATGAGAAGATTCATTCTTGTATTGTTGATATTGGGTTTGAAATGTCTAAATATGATCCGTGCGTATATTTGAACCGATCAGGTAAATGTTTTATAGCAATAGGTCTTTATGTAGATGATTTCTATATTTTTGGAAATGATTTAAAATAAATTCAATCAGTTAAAGACAAAATTCGAAAAGCTTTTAAGATTAAAGATTTAGGAGAGGCCAAAGATTGTCTTGGTATGCGAATTACACGAAATCTGGATAAAGGTGAAATTGGTTTAGATCAAAGCCATTACACACACAAGATTTTGAATAAATTTGGAATGCAGGATTGCAAGTCTCTGAAGACTCCTATGGAATGCGGCTTGAAGTTAGAAAAATGGGAAACCATCGAGATTGCCAACTATCAAGAAATTATAGGTTCCTGAATGTATCTGTCATGTACTACAAGACCAGATATTAGTTTTGCGGTGAGCTACTTAAGTGAATTTTGCTCTTGTGCTGGATGATCACACATGTCTGCCGTAAAGAGACTATTAAGGTATCTTAAGGGTACCATAGATGCAAGGCTCACTTTCAAGAAAAGCAAAAGCGAGTTAGTTGCCTATGCAGATGCTGACTGGGGTGTTAATGCTGATGGACATTCGTTTACTGGCTACACGTTAATTTATGCAGGTGGGACAATTTCATGGCAGGCTTGTAAACAACGGTATGTAGCACTAAGTACTGCAGAGTAATACATTGCGATCTGTGAAGCAGCTAAAGACGTTATGTTTATTAAAAGTCTATATGGAGAGTTAACTGGTTATGTAGGATGTGTAACTATTTTTAGTGACTGTCAAAGTGCCAGATCACTGACTTATTCCCCGTAATTGGTAAACGGTCTAAACACATAAATATTAAGTTTCATTATGTTAGAGAGTTAGCCGAAGGTAAGGACATTAAAGTTGAATATAGGCTCTATGTCTGCTGATGTTCTGACTAAACCCGTGGTGCTATTAAACACAGTTATTGTGTGCAACACATAGGACTCCAGTGGTGGTGTTGAAGTAGGTTTTATGTGTTATGTTGATCTGTGGAGCCCACGCGTTGCTAGGTTACCTTTTTCTGTTACTCTCAATCTAAAGTTGAATAAAATATAATACGCTATATAGATTTCCCTTATTTTGTTTCATAAATTCTATATGTTTTTATTTTAGATTGACAGGCGCTGCTGGAATGCATATTGCCTGTCATTGAACCAAAGAGGTTCTTAATACTTATTTGATAATATCTCTCATAGACAAATAATTCTATATAAGACGTGAAGCAATTGTGTTTGCATATATGTGTTTTAGTTTGAAGAGTGGGATATGGCAATGAACAGGGCACAGAGGAGTGTCTAAGTCCAAAGGAATGGCAACGAATGGGCGAAACAGTATACTCTCCATGGTACTGCACATGTCTATAGGCGACGGTTACCACTTTCCATCAGGTGGGCCGTCAGCTTGTTTGCCATTCTAAGTTGTATAAAAAAAAATACTTTAATTCTTATTCTTCGATATGCCGTGATTTCTACTACCTACATCTGAAAAGCTAGAAAGAGAATGCACGCTATTCTTGATCTAATTCTGAAAATCTTTATACCTAATTGTCAGCGGACATGTCATCAAATCATGATTTTTGAATTCAAAATTTAAGTTCTACAAAAACGTAAAAATGTCTGGTAAAAAAAGCACTCAAATGCAAGATATAATAAAACAACAAAGCTTAAAATCTGAACCGTGTCCGTGGCTGTGTAATCTGGTACCGTCAAATGTGCCAGCACCGGGCACTGCTCAAGTTGTTCTTCATCCAAAGAAAGATGTCTTCGTTCTTAAGGTAACTTAATTGATATGTATCATCCATCCATTATATGCCATGTGGTCCCAGCATATAATAGGCTACACCTTTTTTCTTGTGGGTGTCATAAAAAGCGACTAAAGGAACTTAATTAACTAGAGAAGTGCAACAGCTCCCCTTTTAAAACATCACCAAAACCTAACTGCGGTACCTGCACACCAAGCATAACAACTACTGGCAAAACACCCCAATAAGAGGACAGGAGAAGAGGAGGAGAAGAGAAGAAGAGGGAAGAGGAGTTCAAAAGTGGACAGTTAACGGCCGATATAGATGGATGGATCCATACGTTATAACAGCCTATTGTTACCCCACTCCTTAGCATGAATAGAGACGAATTCTCCTATCATGAAATTATGCCCACATTCTGTAATAGGAGCATAATGTAAGTATTAGCAGTAGTATACTGCCATAATAGTTTTATTATCATTATCATATCAGTCGTTAACTGACTATTGCAAAACAAAGGCAGGCCTTGGAGAGTTTTGCCAGTAATTACTACGCTTGGCAGACGAGTTGGCAACCGCAGTTAGGCTTTGGTGATATTTTAAGTGGGATACTGCTGCCCATCTCGGTTGTTAAGTTCCCTTGGTCGCTTCTTACGACACTCACAGGAAAGAAAAGGGAACTATTGTAGTTTACGATATATCATTACTGCTCAATTGGTTGATTATGGACTAGTATTTCGATATTTTCTTCAAAGTAATTATTGATTAATAGATAATTTTTACTGAAATAATATTGTATATTTATTCACTTAATAGATGCTTTCTTTTTTTTATTAAAATCTTTTGTAGTAGTAGTAGTAGTATTAATTTATCCACAACAGGAAAGGCAAAAGAACTAAGTCATACAGCCTGATCTTCAGTAGAAAGTTTTTTACAGACATTAGTTCTACACTAGCGATGTGCATTGCCTTCAACAATAATGAAATCAGTGGTCATATTGTATTCTCATTCCATATACACTAGATATCGTTAATAAATGCTCCAGTAACAACATATTATGGTTAAAGGTGGCGAAAATAGGACCTACCGGTGACCGAAGATGTAAAATGGAACTCGAACTGGTTACTCCCAAAGGTCCAGAAAGAAAAACGCTTTGTCGAATTGATACAAGAGAAACCCAATGTGACCCCGACCCTTCTCCTTGTTGCTGCATAAGACCAAGAAAAAGTAGAAAGTAATTATTCAAATGTCTCAAAAATCTCTTCCCATTTTTCTTTGTGTAACTTGGAATGTATTAGAAATAAAAATTGTAGTTTGTAGTTATTCTTTCAATATTTGTGAAGATGTTTGGAGGATATTTGTTGATTACTCACCCTTAAATAAGGCACAAGAGTTCACATCCTGGATTTCTGATTGGGTTTACTCCTAAAGGTGCATTAATTTAGAACATATAATATCGTAGAATTTTGCCGTCACGTTATAATAGGATAAACAATGTATGCTATTGTATGTGGAAAGATTTTCCCCCTTAAATTTATAGGAGATCGTTATGCAGTACGAAAAATTTAATGCGTTTCTAAACAATTGCGTAAATTTTGCTCCGGTAACGTGTCGAAAACGTTCAATTATATAATTTAAGTAAATATCGCATTTTTCCAGTAATTCATGTGAAAAGATATGTTTATGTCTACTTAACAATCAGTATATGGAGTGTTATATATTTATATATTGTTACAGATTAACAGTATTTAATGCCTGCTTACCTATTTAAACATTATTAGAAAATCGTTATTTATTTAAAAATAAAAGCATAACAAATCCATGTCGTCTATATATATATATTATATGATGATGAGGATGAAGCAGGTCAGTTGGCCCCTCATGACGAATTCAACAATAAATAGTCACGATAGTATCCGGGGGAAACCGTATGACTGTGGTCGACCTGATTGCTAGCAATAGGGATATTATATATGATACGCAAGTACATTATACTACACCATATAGTTTTTATACTATGTTACGTCTATGTATGCTATAGTAATCATAGATTAAGCATAGTATCTGCGGTTCCAATAATTCGTCTAAAACCTATAATGACCATAAATTCAAGTGACAATAATTCTGTCACGAAATCAAAATTCTAAAGTTCTTGCATGGTTAGTAAAAATATCGCTAAATTCTCAGTAACTAACATCTGCCAATATCTACCGCGTTTAAAATATATTAAAATGGGTAAAACTCGAAAGCCTTACGAAGAAATCGGTGCTATATTTAATGGAAATGAGGTACGTAAAACTAATTAAAAAAAAATAATATACTATTGTAGGTATTAGACAACTGATATACATACTTAAATAACTTCTTAAGTACATAATTATTATACCTAGAAAATATCCAGATAAATTAGTCGGTGATAATTATCCGGGGTGAATACCCCGAGTTCCATAGTCAGTGTGGTCACTCCAGATACCTGTTTTTTTAAAGGATGAGTACGGAATAGTAAACCCGCCTGCACTAAAGGATTGTTAGTAATGGGAATTTACCAGCTCCATTACTAGTAATATATCCTATCAGGTCGACCTCCATGTGGTTCCCCCTGGAAACCACCATGGTTAATTCTTGTGGAATTTATCACGATGGGCTAACTGACCTGCTTTTATTCTCATCTATTATTTCTCACTTGTGCTCCGCCAGCGTATACCGATAGCACAGGCGAGGTTACAATTCCATTATCAACCTATTAAAAAAAAATGGTATACGCTAGCTGAGCACCAGTGAAGGATGTTAGGTGAGAATAAAAATGCAGGTCAGTTAGCCCATTGTGACGAATATACCTGGATTTAGCACAATGGTTTCCAGAGGGAACCATGTGGGAGTCGACCTGACAGGGTATACTGCTAGCAATAGGATTGTTAGCGCACATTTCTAACAATCCCTTCCCGCCTTGAGCACCTATTAGGGTTTATCAAAATTTATTAGGATATATTTATTAAGCTAAGACGTAGATTATATTATTAATATACTAAAATTTTACATGGAACATAGTTAAGAAGAAATAATACGAAAGGTCTTCATAAGATAAATAGAAGCCAAGACAATAATTTTTAGAAGTTTTGTCTATGTCTCTATGTTTTTACGACATCATGAAAAAAAAAACTGTACCGAATGAAATACAATTTTCATAGTTTTCTTCTTAATGACATTACTTAAAAACTAATATATTATTTGCGTACACAGTAGAGTACAAAAACCTAGTTACATATATATAGAAAACAACAGCATATATATATATATATATATATATATATATATATATATATATATATATATATATTATGCAACTTAAAATGGCAAGCAAGCTGACGGTCCACCTGATCCACGCCTATACATTATAATACATGTTTTCTTTATATTAGGTCAAAATCAGAGTACCAAAGAGCATATCAAAACCCCCGAAACTGACGCCATCCCAGCTGAAACTACAACAACAGTGTACTTGTGAAGATGATGAATCCGTTTGTTCTGAGACATGTGGATTTCCTGGTGAAAGGGGTGGTCCGGGGAATAGACTAAATTTTCAGGTTCTGTAAATTTTTTTATAGCTTGTAACGTAAATCGTTGACCTAGTGTGTCTATCTAAATCCGAATTAAATTAATAAAACCAGTTTCATGTATTACTGAAATTAGTACTGCTGTGTAAATTGAAAATTATTACCTTAACAAAACTTTTTTATCACTGAAATTAGTCATGAAACTAGTTTCATGGCATTGAATGTAATATAAATTCGGGAAATTTGTATTCTATTTGAAAAATTGTATTCGAAGTAATATTAGTAACTGCCTAAGCTCAACTATTGTAATAGTTTATTTCATCCTAAAAAAGCCTCAAGAGAATAACTATAATATATAGAAAGTAAATATTACAACTTCATTTATATCTAGCTAAATCGCCAGCAAAGGAGTAAAGAAATCGTTTTACATATTGCACTATGCATGTCTTATACTTGAGTTTAATAGGCATAATTTTGAAGAAAGTGAACTATTACAGAACTGTATAATTCTTGTAATTCGACGAAGTCAAATGCGACTAGTGCAAAGTCAGCTTTTTTAACTCCCAGATACAGTTTAGGAACATATTTAACCTAATATTGATATTTAATTCTATTCTTACAGATTCCAGACGACATTTGCGAATCTCTAACGAATAGGACAGCATTAAATTCTGAAGTAGTGTATAGTAAGAAAGAAGCTCATGATAACCTATGTGGCGTTTGCAATCTTACACCAAAAGACGCCCCAAAAGGTGTCCAGGCCCAAAAAGTTCTTCATCCAGACAAAGATGTTTTCATCTTAAAAATAGGCAAACAAACTGATGAACCTAATCGTACTGGCAATATAGAGGTATAACATTTATGTATCGATCCAAAATATTACATTACGAGTATTTAACACTGGCTGTATCTAGCGGCTTTTCCCGCGTGATTTGTGTTTGAAGGGTGGGATATGGCGTGAATTTACAGGGTACAGAGGAATAACACATGAGTCCTCAAGAATGGCAACGCATGAGGGTATCATGGGCGAAACAGTATACTCTGTTATGTCCATGGTATTGCTCATGTCTATAGGCGACGGTTACCACTTTCCATCAGGTGGGTCGTCAGCTTGTTTGTCATTCTAAGTTGTATAAAAAAAAGATATAGTACCTAAAATATCATATATTAAAATAAATTAAGATATAACTTACCCGTGTAGCAGTCCGTTTAGTGGGTACTTTTTGCGTAAAAAAGTAACAAAAATCACCAACCTGCTTAAAAAATACAAATCTTCTTAATTTTCATGAAATTTGGTACTAAATAATGGATAAGTGGCATCCTAACCTAACATATAGGACACTTTATACACTAACTCACGCGTGTCAAACCGTGGACACAGCTAGTAATATAATATATTATCGGGACATGATTTACAAAAATAGGCTGGCGAATTTTATCGACGTCATTATCACTTCTCATCAGTTAGATCATGATCAATCGCAAGACTCTTTAATAACATTTCAATTACACTGCAAAAATTGTTAAAGGTGAACAAAAAGAAATAATCAAGCAAATCCATTACAAAGTGGACTATAAGGATTCTTTGCCAAAAGCTTTTGTCCTTGCATACGTCTGCATTGCTTCGTCTACTTTCATAATTCCTAATTATAATTAGCATCTTAGTTTACAACCCAATGAAGTAATGCTAATGTGTGACGCGACATGCTTTAGAATTTTAACATTATACTACGTCACATACATAGTACATTAGCATACTTTATTAGGTAAATATACACTAGAATGCTCAAAATGGCCTTTTACGTCATTGAAAATGTGTGTAGGCGTGGTTTATCTGAATATTTATTAGTTCTCTGTATTTTCAGGTAGAATTAGTGACACCGAGAGCTCCTGCCAAAATGAAACCAGCCACACACTCGTGCAAGCAAATACAATGTGAAGAAGAGAATATACCTTGTTGCGTTCCATGTAAAACTTGCCGGGGAATAGTCCCCAAAAAAAGGAAAGGAAGGCGATCCAGGTGCTGCATGTAAACAAAGAATTACGTGACTTCATTCTTTTTATACTAGACAATTATAATGAATTGTTATTTTTTAGGCTTCGAAACATGTAGAAAATTTTTAAAATAAAACATTAATAGCATGTATTCTAATTTTATTTATGTAATGAAAACTCTTTACTATAAAATACTAGATGAAATAAAATTTATCTCTGATATTTACTTCCAATCTATTATATATTTCAATCGATAAAGTTATTTATTATTATGATATATTTCATTCTAAATATATTATTTATTTGTAATAATTACATTGTATCTAAACATTTATAGACTTCACCCGAAGTCCAATTTTAATCTAAAGTGTTATCAAAGTGCTTACGCCTAAAATATTTATAACATGTAAATATTTGTTTAAATTCCGGACATCGATTGGTCAAAAATCCATTAAAATGATTATTAACGGTTTTCTAGCAATCCTTACGTCTAGTATTGTCGCCTCTTATCACGGTTATATAAGACTAAATACGTATTTACTTAAATTTATCACGAATCTTCTTCATATCAATTATTACATAAGGGATAAGACAAATAATGCATAATACTAATTAATAAAACAAGTTGCAATTTATAAATACAACAAGTTGCAATTAAGTGTATGGGTAGGTATAAACTATTTTTAAATTATATTACTGTATGGGATTCTTTATTAGGATAAAAACAATGAGCTCTTCATGGCTTCATCCGTTGGCATGATTGACTTCTTGTAACTAGTTGATAAGCGTTTATCCTCTCGCTCCTGGTCAATATAGGTACAGTCTTCGAGTGCAATAAAATAACCCCTTATGTATGATAATAAATTATAATTACGAGTATGTCAAAAAGAAACGGGAAACTTATCTTTGCTGAAGTGAAATCTTTTTAAAATTTTCTAGTTAGAATTAAACAAGAAAGTAATGTTTTAACTTTTATGAATATCAATTAATTGTTATTTCTAAATTTACAATATAAATGTAAATGAGGAACAAATGCTTAAATATCCAAACATTTTCTCAAACGTTTATATTTATAATATTACAAATTTTTACATGCGATTTTCCGTATAACCAGGATAAAATGGAACGTATGCCCTTAATTGTCCTCTCCTTTTCAAACACTACGTGTGTACCAAATTTCATGACGATTAGCTATAAAAAGTAACAAACAAACATACTAGCAGATTTATAATATTCATAAGTATTCATTGGGATTTTAAAGTCGTGAAAAGAACTAAAATTAAATTTAAAACAGTTCTGTGTCTGCTAGTATTGTATCTCACATACAATGTATATACAATGACAAAGTCTCCACACATCCCATATTAAATTTATTATAGTTCACAATCATTAACATAATAAAGACCGTATTGTAAACATAAATATTCATCAACATCATCAATTCAACCATTCATTGTCTATAGCCAAGCAGAAATCGATATATTATATATTATTATTAATTATTAGGTATTATTATATCAGCCGTTAACAGTCTGTTGCTGAATATATGCTTTCTTCCTCGAAAACTCCTCTTAGTTTTGGCAGTAGTTGCCATGTTTGGTAGGTGGGTTGGCAACCGCAGTTAGCCTTTGGTGATGTTTTATGAGGGATGCTGCCGGCATCAAGTTCCCTTAGTTACCTCTTACTCCTACGGGAAAGGAAGGGGTGACCCATTCTATGCGAGGATCACAAACGTATATCAATATATAGGGTAAAATCAAAAATAACCGCCTAAGCGAATGTTAACCAATGGAACTGAACGCTTTTCCAATTTCCCACCGACTTTAATAATAAGGAGGTTCTTAATTTAGTGGTATTTTTTTAATGTTTATTCCTTCATAACTCAATCAGTTGTAAACTGATTTGGAAAATTCTATTTTATCTGAAAGGATATATCTGTAAGATGGATCTCATAGAAATTTCATCAAAATTGGTTCCGTAGTTTAGTTTTAAATAAAATAACTGGTTTTGTCACAATTAAAGTCACTTTTTCTTGTACAACAGTTATAAATGTTGACAGAATAACTAAATGACGATATTGGATAGTGTTTGGCTTTTCAGTCTTCAGTCAACAAATGTCTTTAGGATAAAAAATTAAACTTTGTAATTTTTTAAAGACCTCTGTTCTCATACTGTACATATTTTTATTAGAAAATTCCATAACGAAATCACGATTTTGTAAGTTTTGCATTGTCTTTACTAGAATCACTCTTGTATACAAAGTTAAATAGGCCGCCTTATATATATTGTTCGCTTGCCAATAAAATAAATTTTGCATATATTATAGGAAGTGTTAGACAGTATTATGACTTTGAGAATACCACATTAGTTTATTTCAGTTATTTTATAATAAACTAGCTTTATCCACGACTCCATTCTAGTTAACTTTGGAATGAAATATACAGTAAACTTTAAATTCGATATTCAGGAACAAAACTATGATAACCGTTTTCAATTCGGTGCGATATTTACAAAAATTTCTAATAATTCGTTTTGAGTTTTACTGCTTTTATTAAGAAAACACTCGTATCAGTATTTTTTTAATATTATTCTATCTACATAGTTAAAATTTTGTTATAAGTATTAACTAATCCGGCGGAATGAAAGGGATTGTAAGTAATGAGTCTAAAGACCACGTTGCTGGCAATGTAATTTATCAGGTCAACCTTCACGTGGTTCCCCTTGGAAACCGTCGTGGTTATTTCTTGATGAATTTTTCACGAGCTATCGTGAAAAATTCATTAAGGTCAAGAACGTTAGTTAGTCCACTAATATTTAACAGACAGGTTGACCACCCCTGTTAGGTTTTAATGATGTTTTAAGAGGGACGCTGCTGTCCATCCATCAATGGTCTTTCGGCAAAGGAAGGGGTGGCCTATTCTATACCGGGACCACATGGCATAATCTCTAAGAGTGAGGAAAAAAGATAATGGTCATTGGCAACTTAGATCTTCGTTATAAGAGAGAACTTAAACTGAATCCGCCTGAAGTAATTTATAGACGTCCTTATAAGAACGGAAAAATCGAAAGACAAAGGAGAACAAAAATTTATATTCCATAAAAGCTTCTAAAAACGATGAACAGCCTTGAGAGACGTCATTATTAGGAATAATTAAAGAATTCATTATGTAAAATGCATACCTTTTTCACCAGCTAAGAATTAGAAACGTCGTGTACTCTGCATTTTGTCTTTGCTAAAGAAAAGATATAGCAAGAACATGCCACACCCAGCAGCCTATTCTAACAGCTAATAAAATCTCTGAAGAGAATTTATAATGCCCCCTATAGTGCACCAACTTTGATCATTGCTAAGTCGACCATTCCTTGAAGGAGTATTAAACGACATTCAGACATTCATGAAAATCATACCTACAGCAATTTACTGTCAAAGATTTTGTATAATTTATCCTATCATACTATTTGCAATTCTGTGTTACTAGGCCAAAGATTTTTTTGGCTTTTAGCCAAAGTGTAATGATCTCTGTGACAAGTTATTTTTGAAATAAAATTGTTTTAATAACAGTTAGACACACAAACTTGTACATTTACTTCATTACTAAACATTTATAAAATTACGTTCATTATATTTTATTAGGAATGACAAAAAGATAATGAACTTTTAGCTAGTAGTAGCCCATTTCATAAAAAATTGTCGTCATCACCTAGAGACAAACAACCTTCGACTTCATAGTACTTTTACGCCCAACTACATGAAACGAGTATAACTGATACATTACCACTCCCGAGACTTAAGATTACCATAAAATTAGGTATAAATTATATGTTAAACTTGCAGTGACTGCTCGCAATGTGTTGTATTCCATACTGCTTCATACCTGGGTATTGGATATCATATTAAACATCTCTTGAGATAACCACTCCTATTCTCAAACAATAAGGTAGACAAGTTAATCCAAAGTAGTAGAATAACCCAGAATAGAGACCAAATATTTATTTACTAGGAATATAGTAATGAAACTGTAAATATCGACTAAGAACTACCGCCGTTCGATAGCGTTTTATATATCATAAAACTTTACAAAATACAGATGTCTGTACTATCCAAAGTCCTCTATATATTCCAAAGTTTCTAGGTAGGTAGTCGCAATACACGTTATACGGGGGGGAAAGTATTGTTAGTAGTGCGGACTACTAGTCTTATTACTAGCAACATACACTGTCAGCTCGACCTCCACGTAGTCCGTCCTAGAAATCATTGTGTTGAATTCGAAGTGTATTAATAACAATGAGCTAATTGACCTGCCTTTTCATCGTCACCTAGCGTCCTTTACTAGTGCCCAGCCAGCGTATACCGTTACCACAAGCAGGGTTACCATTCCATTATCAACCATTAAAAAAAATTCACGTTACAGACTTAATATTGAATTCGCAGTAAAATTAACTTATTGCTTTCCTACTAATGATACATAATTAGAAATCTTTCACTGACACAAAAATATGTGGCAAAAAGAATTATTAAATCATATCTACAAAGAGAAGACAGCCCAATTGACAACCTTTTCCTTTTAAAATTTTATTGAATAAATATTATTTCTTCCTTTTATTAATATCTAGTTGCTATAAAATTTTTGCTATTTAATTACAGACCTATACTTACATTGTTGTAATATTATTGGCTTACATTTAATGTTTTGTAAAGTATAATAATACTATTATTTGATCATAGTTCATAACACCTTGTTTACGAAAAATTTATTATGCATTGCAGCTGTATTGATAAGAAATGACATTGAAAGCATTAATATAATATTGTTAGAGGTGACATTTACGATTGAACACGTGGAGTTCTGACTCTATTTTCTATATAGATTTTCTAGATAATAGATTACTCGTGAATTCGTATATAAAATAGTATTGTATAGTAGTCAGTGCTAAGTTGCGATGTAACTTACGCAAGAGTAACAAATATCATTCGTTCGTACAAACTTTTGCATTTATAATATTAATAGAACACGTATGACTACATAGCCAAATAGTTAAACATATAAAATATAAAAAAAATAAGGATAGAATTGTAATTTTTTGGCACTTGACGAATATTTGTACTCGAAATAAGCATCTTCTGCACGAT